CTCTAAAATACACTCGTTTGACAGCTATGCCTCTACCTTTTCTACAACTAATCCTTACTCAATTTAGGTACACAAGACAACAAAATGATATAAGCAAACAAGTGAATTTTTATTAACGAAGGTATCAAACATCACACCATATACATATATCAATAACGATGGACAAGTCAGTACCAGTATGTACAGCTTCGGTATCATCACGAGAAAAATCTTGCATTCGGGGAATTTTACAAATTTCCAAACATTACCACACATCAGAAATAGTCTCCAAAAAGATTGGTCGTATCCACGAAAACACAATCTTTCCCAAGTTATCCTCGATGCGTGGAGCTGTTTTGTTGTTGTTGTTGGTAAAACCCCATCAGCAGTTCATGTATACGTGATCGACGAGGAAAATGTGGAGCTACAAAGCAATATTATCTATTATACAAATTAAATTCATTGTCCAATTTATCTACTTCCAAAGACCCGTAATAGAAGAGAGATGAAAAGAGCTTGGTTGGAATGATATTTTGATTTTTTTTCTTCGTCATAATGGCGTAGAAGTGCATGCAAATGGTGATGACACTCAATATTAACACGGTATAGCAACTACTTTCGAAGTTTCAAGTTAAATTGCCTTGGATGACATTTGAGTTTAATACATTGTAAAGTTTTGTTCATAAAAACACACATCAAATGTCACATAGAAAGTTACATGTGTATAACAGTCAAAGATCCACATAATTGGATACATTTTCTTTGTCGTACAAATAACGGATTTATCAGATAGATCAATATAAAATTATATTTCAATTCAAGGTATATATTTAGAAGCACTGTATAATCAGGTAGGATTGCATTGGTTTTCATCAAGTATTTTACATTTAAATCAGGCACGATATAGTGATTTCCTAACATGACTTAACATAGCTTTACAACTCCATAAGTTGTAAATAGCAATCAGGAAATGAGATGAGACAGAACAATTTATCAGATAGCTGAGCTTTGCTGTGTGACTGGGCCCGGCTTTGCTGTGTGACTGGAGCTGATACCCTCTCTGCCCCCTCCCCCCCCCCCCCCCCAGAAACGTATGCCTATAGAGTGGTGAAGTGTGACGTCATCAACAATCTTTTTGTTGTTGTTGAATTTCTCAATTTTTTACTTCATTTTCTGAAAGAGCATCAAAAATGATGTCCATATGTCGAAAACCAGTTGAATATGTTAAGTTTGGGCTGAGATATGACCATCTGAATAAATAGATTTCTGTAGGAACTCTGTATTATATTGCTCTGGTTTATAATATTAGGAGCCAGAGTAATATAACACTGAGCTCTTTCGGAAAATGGAGAAAAAAATTAAGAAATTCCAAAAATAAATTTTTATGATGGCACAGGTTTGGTACTCTATACGTTCTACACTACAACCAAGCTATTTCATATAAATCATCAAAAAACAACACACACAATCAATCTAATTGATCTAATTTCAAACAATTTGATAATTCTATAACTATACACAGGATTAGTCTCATCAAAGATTTTAAAAGAGAAAATTCATGAGAAATGATTTGGAATGAACATACATAGCTAAAATAAATATAGATTTAGCATAAAATACAAGATCTATCTAATGCACAGAAAAGGGAGATGTAAATGGAAATAATTTTAAGCTTGCAAATTATTGTTTCACATGTTTGCAACCTTTCCCAAGAAGCCATCACTACCATTGGTATATAGCAATCAAAAATACATTTTAAATACATGTTACTTTTACAAACAGAATATAATGAAGTAGAATTAAAGCAAGATGAGAGAATAAAAAAGTAGAGAATCACAGAAAACACACCTTTCATTAAAAAAATAGCCATATAACAACAACTGAAATACATTTCATCAAGCACAACAAGTAATGCATATTAATATGCTACAAATATAGCACTTCACAAACCCGGTACTGGAGTATTACTATCAGTATCAATCACAGCCTGCACTAAAACAACTCCACATCAATCTTTCCGGACAATTCATCCTTGATTTCATCAACGATTCATACATTTAGTCCAGAAAGATATCATTACGGAATAGAGCAATGACTATTCAATCACATGTCAAAATCATTACACTGGGTACTCTCTCTCTCTAAAAAAAGAGTGAATTTTCACTCTATTTTCACTTTCTTAGGAGTGACGTCCGTGATCACTCGATTTTGTTTAGAGAGTATATTCCATGATCAGGGGGGTGTTTCACAAAGATCCTAAGTAGAACTTAACACTAAGTTAGACTTAAAAATTATGGACAGCCATTGGAGTCTTTAAATGAAATATATTCAAAAGCAGAAATTCAAGTATTTTAGACATTTTTATTAATTCCACATCCAGAACATGAAATCTCCTTGATGATAGAAAATATGAATGATTTCAATAAACAATGAATGCCTTTCAACATAACTTTTACAAAATATTTTCAAAGATGCTAATGGCTTTCCATAATTTTGAAGTCCAACTTAGAGATAAGTTCAACATAGGATCTTTGTGAAACACCCCCCTGATATATTAATTTGCATAGTGTTTGCATGGTGAAAATGCAGACAACATAGAGGTAGAAGAGAGGGTATAGTATACAACAATTCATTCATTTCTTCCTTCATTTCATTTTAGAATAGGTCCCCCTAAAGAATAAGAACAATCAACATAATGTTACAAAGGTACAGAGTGAATATGAAGGCATGGAGTGACAATTTTCTCTGACAATCTTATAATTATATCTCCTTACCTCACTCCTTCCCCCCCCCCCCCCAAAACAAAAAAAAAACAAAAAAAAATGTTGGTAATATCAAGATAATTCAGTCACCTTCCTGCTACAAAAAGAGTTTAAAATCACATAACAACCAGTCATATCAATACATATACATAAGATGTATGCAATAAAAGCATAATAAATAAAGAGATTGTTAATTTTCGTCTTGACATTTTAAAACAGTCTTCATAAATACTTAACGATCATAATATTTGAAGCAGAGTACAGAATAATTATCATTTGAATTGTCTTTTTTATGTATGCATGGTGATATAATAAATATGTGAGATTTACAATGGCATATGATTCAAGACAGCAGCGACAATCATTTGACAGAGTTGAAGCATGGATGGAATAATGCTGATATATAAATGCAATGAAAGGCAAAAGTAATGAGTTTGTACAACTTTGCAACAAAATAAATAAATAAATCTATGTATTAGACACATTGGTGTAACTTTGGTATGATTAGTATCAGAGAATGAGTAACGTTAACTTTCAAATCCCTTCTGATGTCCTCAGAATATCTGAATCGCAATGGCACATACTCTCAAAAGTAGAGTATTATTACAGGATTAAGTTGGTCCACTTTTAGTTTTAGTTTTATACATATAACCTAATACAATGTACCATTAGAACATTCATTTGACATCAGTAAGACTAGCTATTGACAAGATGACTTACATATCATCAGTTCAGTAGCAAAAGGGTGTTAACTCATATGGTTTTACAAAGAGTTAACGCCTATCTGGTTCTCAGCAATTGACATCACTGATCAATGGGTAATACATGTATTATGCAATAATATTTCATAATGCTGAGGGAAATATAAGCACAAGGGGGTAACATCTCATGAGAGCCAGAAGGTTGTTAACTCTGGAAAGATAGCAATGTGAGTCAATAATCTAGCTCTAAATAGACAACATTACAATCCAGAGGGTGATACAAGCATAGATGTATAATAATAATAATAATAATAATAATAATATTGAATATTTATATAGCGCACATATCCACCCTGCAGGGTGCTCAAAGCGCTCCAATTTTACCTCGGCTCTGCTAGGCTACCTATTTAGGTGCTCACAGCATTCAAGGAATTACTTCCTACCGGTCCCCATTTACCTCACCTGGGTGGAGTGGTGATTATTATTTTTTTACCTGACTGCCAAGAATAAGCAACCAGGGGACCAACAGCTTTAGGTCCTCTCTGAGGGACCTGGTAATGAGGATTAATGCCTTACTAAAGGGCACTAGCGCATAAACTTGGTTTTGATCCCGGGTCACCGAATTACGAGACCACCGCTCTACCAACTGAGCTATCATGCCTCCTCAACATAGATATGTATTGTTATTATTAATGTTCACTGAGAGGAAGAAAGGCATTAACTCTGGAATGTAATGTGATTCAATGACCTTGACAAGAAATGTTTCAGAAAGAAGTAACAACTCTTCGTTTTCAATATTGCAATCATGAAAGCACTGTGAGTGAATACAACTCTGTTTCAATAATACTTGGTATGGGATGATCATTTCATTCATATCTATATAAATGCAGGTGGGTTAAAATACCTTGTATCAAAATAAACATATCAGTATATTCATTGTAATCATTTCAGGGGGGTGTTCCACAAAGATCCTAAGTCAAACTTAACTCTAAGTTTGACTTAAATGCTATGGAGAGCCATTTGTAGCCTTATAATGAAATAAATTCAAAAGCAAAAATTCCAAGTATTTTAGACTTTTCATAAATTCCACATCAAGAACATGAAATCTCCCATGATAATAGAAAATATGAATGATGTGAATCAACATGTTATGCCTATTAAAATAACTTTTACAAAATATTTTCAAGGATGCTAACAGCTTTCCATAATTGTTAAGTCCAACTTAGAGATTAGTTCAACTTAGGATATTTGTGAAACATCCCCCTGGGGTTTAGAAATACATGCTGACCTACAGTGACCAGTCAGAATCAGTTAATCCATTGCTTATGGGAACTTCATTTACATGTATGTAGTTCCTATTCCTATTAACTCAAAGGGAATGAGAGAATTCAATGTCCAACAGGTTACAAATGAAAATAGAGGGCGCTATGACAAGTTTGCACTAGAATGTATGGAGAGTGCTTCTGCAAATAAACCAACCAAAATATTCTCTACCGATTCAAATTTCAAAGAAATTGTCATTGTTTGTTTCAGTAATCAATATTTTGTCAGTATGTTAAAGCATTTCATTCCTACATTTACGAGAATCCCACAAAACTTTTCCAACTGCAAGCACTTTTCAAATTAAGGCATATTATTATACAAAACAACCCTATTTCAATCCAGAAACATTTATCCATCAAATTACAATAAAATATGTAATAGTACTAAAAATTCTCACAAAATAAATAAAATTTACACCCTATACCCACGAAAGACTGATCCAGTATTTGAATACATTACTTATTTCATGAACAGTAGAGAATACACAGGACAGGGGACTGTACTTATGGTAGCAAGAAGATCAGTTTGCATAAAATTGTTTACATCATCTAACCATATCCACCTTCCTTCAAAGAAGATGGATGAATGAATGTGTTACTATAGTTGCAAACCTGCTATAGTGACCACCTGTCTCCAAAGACCACATTTTTTGTTTCCCTTGATAATGGTTTCTCATTGAAACATGTACTATAGGCACCTGTACATAAGACCACCTGCCTATAAAGTCCACTTTTCCTGTCTCCCTCGGGTGGTCTTTATTGACAGGTTTCACTGTAGATGGACATGACATCTTGATGGGTATTAAACATTCAACCAGAAACGTGAAACAAATACCTCTGCTGTCAGAGGCATCTCGTTCTGTTAGAAAAAATTTGGTTATTTAGCCATAAAAAGAACAAGTGGTTCATGCGTTTTTCAGTCCTCTCTGTTAAAAAGAGTAACCTCAGTCTTCGTATAAAGGTGTGCACATGTGTCATTATTCACATCAACTTCTGTATATTCAAATCCCCTTGAATTTCTGCAGAAGATAATGAATACTCCATCCAACCAATGATATTCACATTTAAATATTGATAACACATTCAATAATCTCCACTTCAAACTAAATCATTGTTTTAAACATAATCAAGAAATTATCCTGATTAGACGCATTCAAATGATGCTGAATGGCGATCGGAATGGCTAAAGGCTTCTACATCGATCCCCTCTGTGGAGTAAAAAATTAGCATGTTGAGATTGCTTTCACCCCGATGCCCCATCCTGATTGGATGAATTCAAACGATGCTCAGTGGTGATTGGCTACTGCTTTGTAGTTGGAATTGGAATTGATGTGATTGGTGTAGTTGTGGTTGTGATTCATTTTCCCATTTGTCTCTTCCATTTCTTCGCTTTCCGAGCCACTTTCCTCCACATCGCTCCTTGCATCCTTTGTAACCTGTGAAATGAAAGAGGAGATAAAGTGAGTTTGTTTTATCTCATATATTGTGTTACATAGATTATAGAACCACAGAGCATGCAATATCTATATCGTAATCATGAATACCAGGAGGTGAGCTGGCTCAGAAGGTAAAGTGTCTGTTGTCGAACCAAAGAACATGGGTTCAAAGCCAACCCATATGAATGAAGCCTGTCTTATGTGTTAACGTGCCCCTCCCCTGTTCCGTATAATTTATGTAGACTAGGTTAAGAGCTGGAAAACACTCTGTCCCTCTGATAGGATGTTAAACGGAGGCCCTGTGTATAGGAGAGTCACTACCTTTGCAGATTATGAACCCACAGTAGTATTCATATACTTAAATATAAGAGGGGGAACCACATCCCCAATCAGTTCTATTGGGAAGGGAGATGCGAGGCTTATAGTGATTCAAATCGCTACCCCCCCCTTCCCCTCAGCGTTTTGGCGTACTTTACTTAATAATAATAATCGGTACTAACAATAGTAATCATAAATATTGAATCAACAATTGTGAAGTTCACAGGGCAATCCGTGAACTTTAAGTTTAGGTTTGTTATCTTATAGTATAGGACCGTTTGGACGCACTTGTAGTTACAAAACTTTAGATTTACTCAAATATGTACAAAACACGACAGATCTTAGATATAAGGTTAATGCGCAAAATTCATGAGCGATTAGTGGGGTTTGGGGTCAATCCTTACTCAAAGTTGTTTACTGTGTTCACACAATTATTTTCTGAGATAACACCCGCTAATAGTTAAAGTGTACAGTTTCATTTTCCTAAAGTAGAATTAATACCGTCCCTAAACTCATTAACGTATACTGGAAAAAAAACTTTGGAATCAATTAGGTGAACAAATTAGATCAGCCCAACTTTATCTAGCTTTAAAGAGCAATGTCATAGTAACTTATTGAATAATTCATCAAATACTATGGCTACTTAGGATTGGTACATTGGTGTGTGTGGGTGCGTATTTAATTTAGTTTCTATCATTGATTACTTTGACTCTGTATTTACTTGGTATTTGTTTTTTGTTTTTTTCTCTCTCTTCCAGGGTCATTCCACTCGAGTAATTGCTTTTCTTAAGGTCCTTTCCATATTCCATACTGTATTTTGCATTGTTGTTTGTATATTTTGTCATTGTTATGATTAAATAAAATATCTTGAATCTTGAATCTTAAAACTTTAAACACTTGTTGTTTCAGCCCTGTGTGAACCCTCATCCTTGTTAGTGGATCATTGCTTATAACTTGAGGTTTCAAAAACTTAGAAGTTTAAAACTATGAGGGATCCATGTGCACACAGAATGCCTTAGCCCACAGATCGATTAGATAGGTCCTGTCATTAGGAACGCTCGGCAACCTGAAATACGAACTTGTAATAACCTTTTGTTCTTTAAAAAGAAACTGAAGGAATTATTTCTCTCAACATATGCTTGTTAACTTTTGAGGTACTTTTATTAACAGTGCTATTTTTTGTCAAGAAGAGGTAATGTGTATTTCCTTGTTTTTGCTTGTTATTCAAATACCCTAAGGGGCATGATTTTGTATTTTGTTTTATTTTTTGTTTATGCACTGTTCCTACTATGTATTATATCTTGATGTAACCCACTGAATTTTGTAAACAATTATTTTACATGGTGAATAGATAAAACAAACAAACATAGCTATAGTTACCTGTCCATGAGCGAGGGCCCTATACACCATGCAGGCGATGAGGAAGAACCAGAAGCTATTGAGGATCTGAAGAATGATCAGGAGTCCATTGAATAGGTAGTACGCAGGGAAAGGTCCGATGATCTCAAGAGAATGAAAGATAGCACTGTAGATGATCCTGTAGATAGTAGGAAATTCAAAATTCAAACAATTTGTTATCGAAATTCAATCCTGATATATATGGATGATAAACAACAACAAACAGAACAAGAAGCGAGCTAAATATAAAGGAAGATAGATACAGAAAGGAGGAGGAGGAGGGAGAAACAGAAAAAGAGAGGAGAATAGTAAGAGTGAGAGAGAAAGAGAGAGGTGGAGAGAGAGGTGGAGAGCAGGGAAAACAGAGTAATGAAGAAAGAACCAGAAAAAGAAAGATAAAAGAGATAAATACGGGGATAGGGGGATTCAAATTCAAATAATTGTTATCAAAATTCAATCTTGATATATATGGATTATCATTTTTGTTAAACAATACAAAACAAATCAAGAAGCAAGCTAATTATAAGAAAGATAGATAAATAGACAGATAGATACAAAGAGAGGAGGAGGAGGGAGAGAGACAGGAAAGGAGAGGAGAATAGTAAGATTGAGATGGAGAGCAGGGAAAACAGAGAAATGAAGACAGAAGAAAAAGAAAAAAAAATGATAGATAAGGGAAAGAGATGAGGGGGCAGCAAAAGAAAAAGAGGAAAGAGGAAAGCACAGAGACAGAAAGAGAGAGAGAGAGAGAGAGAGAGAGAGCAAGAACCAGAGGAAAATGATTTTGTATGTGTGTCTTTTATTTTGCATTGATCTGTCACTCCGTCAATGAGATCCTGAGTGAGGAATTGGGGATGGGAGGGGGCATAACATCTCTAAAATCCAATTACTAACATTTTGGGGGTTCCAAAATAAAAAAGAATTTGAAAACGTGCTTTGTTCAAGTTCATCCTCTAAAACAAATTTCTTCTTCACACTTTGAAATTCTTTCCAGATCATTATGAATCTGAAGCATACACGCAATTCAATAACATTTCACAGGCCATATCAATCATACAACATATATGATCGTGCACAAGTGTTAAACCAACATTTGTTCTCTAAATATCAGATCAAATGAGAGTTGGACTTTGAAAATAAACAGTTTAAAAATGTTCTGTGTAATCATGCCCATAAATTCAATTTTATATTGATGACTTCCCACTTAATGTTTGAATAAGAAGATTACAACATACATTTACATCTGCTACAAGTTCAGGCACATTAATAGCAATATTAGACATGTAAATACTATCTTGCTGCAGGGCATCTAATCAAACAAAACAATAATCGTGCAAGGCGGGTTGTCTACCTAATCATAATTCACACCTTACACCAAATAACCACATAAACAAAATCCAGCAGTCTAAAAGGAAAAAATCTAGTCAACGTTTACTATTATGAAGTTTTTCAAGCAGAGCCTAAAATGACAGCATATATTTGTATAGTATAACAACTTTTAACAAAGATAGTTATGCTAAATATTAGACTAATTGCCGAGGTCGTTTTTTGACCAAACTCAGATATTTAGGCCTAAATCTAATATGGCCGTAAGTCAATTTTTGACCTTAAACTTTTTTTATTAACCAGAACTTAACTGCCTATATCAAGTGCAACAAAAATGACAGAATGAAGGCAATTATCTCATGAACGTGAAGGTATGTAGGTTAATGGTCAGTGATACAAATGACAAATAATATATATAATCTAGACATGTAGAGTGAGTGCCTCTGAAGTCGATCAGTAAGCGAACTTACCAGAGCGGGAAAAAGAGCATGCGTGACAGAAAGAAGGCAGCAGTGAACACACCGAACATGGAGTTAGCACCAGCCTCAAACTGAGCATATTTAAACATCTTCCCCGTCTGTACATTATGCAATAAGCATAGAAAGAAAAGGAGAGACAGAGAGAGATAGAGAGAGAGAGAGAGAGAGAGAGAGAGAGAGAGAGAGGGAGGGAGAGAGAGAGAGAGAGAGACACACACACACACACAGAACGAGTGGGTGGGGAGAGACAGACAGAGAGAGACAGAGGGGGAGATGGAGAGAGAAGGGGGGGGGGTGGCGAGAGAGGGGGGAGGGAGGGATAGGGAAAGTGTGAGGGTGAGAGAGACAGAGCAACAGAGACAGAGAGAGAGCGACAGAGAGAGAGAGAGAGAGAGAGAGTGACATAGAGACAGAGAGAGAGGGGGAGGGGAGAGATAGAGAGATAAAGTGGAAGAGTGAGAGAGAGACAGAGAGAGAGACAGATGGGGAGAGACAGAGAGAAAGGGAGAGAGAGAGAGGTGGAAGTGAGTTGAATATAGAGTACAGGAAGAGAAGAAAGGAAGAATGTAAGAGAGAGAGAGAGAGAAAGTAAGAGAGGGGATGGAAGAGAGGAAAAGAGGGGGAGAACAAAAGATATAAAAAAGAGTAGTGAAAGAGAATATCATATAAGCATGTCTATTATCCCTATAACTCTAACTTACCCGCATGGGAAGAATAATATCCGAGAAACAAAAAATACAATGCTAAAAACTCCAAATAGGGCATCAGCTGCCGAATGCCGGGCGACGTAAACGCATATTTTGGCAAACTGTGGGGAGAAAATAAAATTAGTCATAAATATACCTGTACCTATATCATGATAAATATGATTATAAATAACTTAAACAAGGTAGACTCATAACTAGGCCTACTCAGGGCCTGTTTATCATCAACAATCAAAGTCAAAATAATTCAAACATTTAAAGCCTATCTGCATTAGTTTGGACAGGAGGGATTGGACCTCTCTGCGTGGTCACTGGCAGGTAGTTATCTCATCAATTCAGCTCTCAATTGACATAAGAAAAAGGGGACAATTGGGGACCAACAGGTACTGCTTACATGTAGGCATTGTTGGCTATATAGAGGCGCAAGTAGCTACACGTAGTGCAGTCCCGCTTTAAGATGAAAATTTAAGTCTAACTAAATTATGGTTTTCAAGTGTTCTAGATGTTACATTGTACTGCTAACTATCTTAAAAGTACTTCAACCGTCTTCCACCGTGCAAAACAACCGTAAAATTTGGTAGTCTGCATATTTTAATAATAATATTCTGCTTTTATATTGCGCTTAATACATCTACGATGTCTCTAAGTGCTTTACAGATAATACTATGGTTATGTTATGGTTGTGTTGTGTTAAATGTATTCATTGCATTACTCTCTCTAACCTGTATCATCAAACGAAATCTCACACAATACATTATTGGTTTTTCCATGATTGCTTTGCACTTTTGCAGGTATGATCTATTATTGCAATTCCAATACTTAGTACAAGTAGGTACACTGTATGCACTCATGATCATAAACCATGAACCCTTTTATTCACAGAAGTCTCATCACAATAAATCTTTCATGACGTTGAATTCTTGAATTCTGACTTTCGATGTAGTACTTGTGAACATTGTGGTTTGAATTAATAATAATAATAATAAACAATATTTCAATGGAAGAGTAAAAAACATAATCCTGTTTCAATTTGTTTGTTCTCGCTTCATTGCTCATAAATTGATCATCTGCCAAGAGTCAGATAGGCTTTTACTCTGTGTAAAATGGTATTCAACAGACAGTAGAATGAGGGTTCTATTGTACTATTGTACAACAGAAGAAACTTTCAAAAAGAAACTAAAAACCAACTCTTAATAATCCCATGTCGTAGTTTAATTCAATTCAATTCATTTATTTCAACAAAACTCATAAAGATCAGTAAAATGTGTAAAATAATGCAGAAGGAAATTTTTTTTTTTTTTAAATCGAAATATTACATTAGAAATAAAAAGATGCAGTAAAGAACAATACATAATATGGAGGGACTAGCAAAGGCGGAAGGCCTATCAAGGGCTAATACCCAGTGAGGTAGAGATAAGAAAATGATAAAGCTAATAAAGTATACAATCATTTAGAACCAAATCAAGTTCATATTGCTACTGCAAGTCAGTGCTGTGTTAACTGAGTGTTTAATTATTAACACCTATCTGGCTCTTAACAGGACAGGTGATATACATGTACAAGTCTAAAGCAATCGCTATTGTTATGTCCTTATCTTTTACAATATTGATATGAATACCACGCCCAATGTTTGTATATGGGTAATTACTACATGCCAAGTGCCAGAAGTTATTATTCAAAATGCATTTTTGTGTATCCGCACTCTGATCAGTAATCTGTAAAAGCACTTCATGAGAACAATGGGTAGTATTATCAGGGATGAGACAGAAGAAATCCCCCAAAAGGATGAAGATTAAATAAGTTCCGGGATTACGGTTAGGGTAAGGGTTAGAAAAATAAGAAGAAAAAAAAATGGTCTTGAAATCTCGGCGGAGGAATCTCATCCCTGGTTTTTATTATAAACAAGGGAGTATATGGAAGACCCATCTAGATCTGAAGCTGCTTCAGAGACTGACAGAGTTAGGCTCTGTTCAAGACTTTATGGAAATGTGTTTAAATGTCAAATTAGAGTCTGAGCGTACAGACTATCCTTACCTCTAGGAAGATGTCTGCTACATCATGCGTTACCAAGACGATACATCCAACCCTGGTGAAGTTACACGTCCAGGAGAAACCCATCAGGAAGATAGTTGTAAAATGATGAATTAACTGTTGAACAAAATCCTGAATGGAAAAAAAAATCAGACAGAACATGCAATTACTTATAGTAATAATAATAATAATATTCAGCTTTCATATAATGCTTAATACATCAACAATGTGTCTAAGCGGATTACAGATATATATTATTACCCGTCATCGGATTCAGGCTTTCCCGCACACAATGTATGCACATTCTCCACTCCCTGGGGAGCATTCCAGCCAGGCGTCATTTTTGAAAGCGCAAACTTGCTCATCTAACCACATAAAACTTTTGCATCGTATCGCATCCTACAGCAGTAGAGAGACACATTCTTATGCAAATAAATAGAGGTGTTGTGGTCTAGTGGTCAAGTCACTGGTCTGTGGATCGCAAGTTGCAAGGTTTAAATCCTTGCCACAGCACTAAAGTCCTTTGACATTCTTTGAGGTAAATGGGTATCGCGGGTGGGAAGAAATTCCTTGAATGCTGTATCGCGGGTAGTAAGAAGTTCCTTGAATGCCTTGTACATGTATATATATAAAATATAAAAAATATAAATATATAAATGCATTTCCAATTAAGTCACTAATCAATGCACTTCATAGTGTATTATAGTCCTGGTCATTGAATTGAAATTGATCGACTTGTTTACTAATTCTTTGCATACCTTTTGAACAAAAGTTAAGTTTTTATTTCAAATTTCTTATACTATAGGCAAGTTTTTCTCACATGGGTTGGCATTCATAATACCACTTCCTATTGTGAATATATCCTTTGAAAAGAATTCTCTATGGTAAAGCACACTGGGCTATTGATGAGGTTAAAAACCATAAAAATTCCATCATAATATATCCTTCTTTCAATACCATGTGATATACAGGTACATGTATGTCATCAAATCATGTGATTATTGCAACTTTCAATTTCACTATTAAAGATTAATATGATTTATGCTTTTTTAATAACTTTAATTTTTACTTTCAAATCTGATAAATTCATGCACATCTACATTCTGTTGACAGTAACATCAGGTAAGTCAGATAAGATAAGCCATAGAATGCAAGGTAATTTTTTTAAGGTTAATTTTTATACTTTCTCCCTTTACACAATTTTTTTTTAAAAGCGATTGGTACACTTCAATCCCTGCCACAATACTACAGTCCTTTGGCAAGACGTTAATCTACATTTGCCACACTCAACCCAGGTGAGGTAAATGGGTACCTTATAGGATGATTCATTGAAATGCACTATGCGCTGACAACGGCTGCCGGAGCTAAAGCTAGGGTAATAACTTCCATAGCTCTTTGGAAGCACATCGGGACATTATATCATAATGTAATACAAGAACAGATTATTATTGTTTAATAACTTTCAATATGATGTCATAAACCATATCGTACTAACCTTTCTCCTCACATCGGTAAAGAGAGATAGAATGAGAGAGAGATAGAAAGACATCTCGATCATGTAGTAGTTGTAGATCTCTGTTGTCACCGGCTGCAAGAAAAACAAAAATAGTGAAAATATTTTGGCAACATTAAAAAATTTTTAAAAGTTGAACAATCATTACTTTATGTTGAAACATTTTCACACTAAAATAAAAACACCCATTGAATCCAGTTTTACTAAGGACTGCAAGAAAAACAAAAATATTGGAAATATTATGACAATATTTTTAAAAAATCATCATGTAGTTTGAAAATATTTAGTTATGTTAAATCATAATTCATGCAACGTTGGAATCATGTCAAGCAGGAAGCATTTTACAACAGATATTAGAATATTTAGCAGAATTCTAGAACTGAACATGTATGTGTGCTTTTGCTAAACATGGCAAACATAAACCATATTTATAAACAATAATTCAGATTCAGATTAATTTTATTGGTCCATTTGGAAATTCAAATACCAACAACTTCAACAACTAAAAATAATCCAATGCACTAAATTTCCTCATTAAGATTTCACAATACAAAACAACATTCAGTTTTATTGATCTTTTTAATGTAAAAATTTGATTTGTCTCGATATATGTTTCTTGAGAAATGTGATATATAAATTATGTTAAAAAAAGTGTACCCAGCCTTGGTAGCTCCTAATTAAAAACTGATAACCAATATGATTTTGAAATTTATTTCAGCATGAAGAGTCACTTGTTTTCTATCCAATGATACCCTATTCATAATATTTCTGCCATGGGTGACTGAGCACTAGGGTCTTTAAAAAGTTTGGTCGAATTCGCCTTATGGGTCAGGCCATATGCATGTCCTTCTTTGGTCTTTTTAAAGTTAAAATTATGCCTTGTGCTTCCGTGCTTCATTGTTTAAAATGATGCAATGTAATTAGGCCTTCCCTTGTTTAATTTCCTAGGATAATCTTTCATTATTTTGAACTGCCTACCAACTTCTGGTTTCATGATATCTAAGTTCTCTCTCTCACTTGTCCGCTGCACCATATCACACACGTAAAGAGCATAAGGTGTTTATATAAAATAGCAAATGATACCTCAAAGGTTACTAAACCCAAATGCAGGACAGAACACATATAATGATATTAAAGTAATTAAGTATTAAAGAAATTGACAGTAGACTTTCATAAAGAAGATATTATCCCAAATTAGTTTTATCCATTTTTTCACTCATTTTTGTTAGTAATAAGTACTTCCTTGACCATTAACACCATTTATCATCAACTCCCTAATAGTCAATATTAATAAGTGAGCAATTGTTTATATTGGAATGAGATAAGTGATAACCCACATGCATAATGGCTTTTGACCCCCATTCATTGCTTCAGCCCAAACTTGGTACAAGAGGATTTTGACCTGCTCATTTATCTGTGGCAGCACTATTATGAATATGGTATCATTAGACAGGTTATTAGTCACCCTTTTACATAAAATATAATTCAAATACAGGTTACAACTTTTTAGTTCGAAGCTACCAAAGTTAGGTAGTCTTTTTTTTTATATGCACTGCTTACATCTAAAAGTATTCAATAAATGCCCTAATTCAACCAGTTCACCTTTCATTCTTGAGTCAAGAAAAAACACAAAAACATTACATTTAAAAGGGTTATGAATAACTTGATTGCTAAAGGGCAATCCAACCCTTAATAAATTAATTTGTATGAAAGTAGAAAAATAACAGAAAAGTGGCAGAGTTCGATATGAATCGGACCAATAGTAAGGAAGTTATAGCTCTCCCATTGGCCGTGTACAAAAATATCATTAATTTCTTTTTTCTTATAACTTCCTTCTCCCTTAAGGCACTACTCAAAATACTGTATATTACAGATAGCATATTATTATAAGTCCTATAAAAAGAATAGACCCTCCTGAGCAATGAATTATATTTTTATATTCTATATGTTGGAACAGATGGGAAAGTAGTCCGGCACTACATCCCATTGACATTACCGCTTCAGCCAATTTAAATTACCCATACGTATAGTGATTACAACCTTCAAATTCATAACTTTCTTATATTTAGTCGGATTTAATTGAAACTTTCATCTTTGCTTCTCTGATTGTTCTGCTTTCATTTAGAGTAGTTGTCTATTTGGGTTGGATTTTCCTTTAACTCTATGTTGAACCATAAAGAAACTTACATGGAATGGAAAATGCTGCCAGCATAGTCTAAGGTCCCAGAACCATGGCTGAGTGGGAACGATGTACATACCATAGCTGAATGAGGCAATGTAAAACACACTCCTCCAACTGTGGTGGAGAGTAATTAATCAAAGAAAGGGTTTTGATCAATTAAATTAGATGACTGATGAGTGAATAAAGGTGAGAAAAAGTGATAAAAAGGAGGAGGGAGAGGGACTGAGAGAGAGCGGGAGAGAGGGGGAGAGAGGGAGAAAAAAGAGAGGAGAGAGGAGAAAGGGAGAGAAAGAGAGGAGAGGAGAGAGAGAGAGAGAGAGAGAGAGAGAGAGAGAAAGAGAGAGGCAAAAAGACAGCGGCAAAAGGACAGCAAGAGGCAGACAGAGACAGCAAGAAGAATGGGAGAGAGGTATAAAGAGAAGAGCCAGACTGACTGATGCCAAGAGAATACATTGGAGATTGTAAAAGAGTGGGACAGAAGGAACTTAAAAAACAATGTAGAAAGAGAGAAAGAGAAATAAATGCACATAAAGGTGAAATAAGAGAAAACACACAAGACAATTGAAAGAGAGGGATAGAGAGAGAGAGAGAGGGAGAGAGAGAGAGAGAGAGGGAGAGAGAGAGAGAGAGAGAAAGAGGGAGAGATGATAATGATGATGAGGACTACTGTTTAAGAGGGAAGAGAGTATTTCGAGAGTATATATACTCACTATTTGGGGGTTCATTATTGAATGAGAAATAACACATCACCCCATGTCATATGGTACAACATTCATATCTAGGTACAATATATCTAGGTACAACAGCATAAAAGTGTAAGGAAAAAAGGGGGAAAATGAATAAGGAAACTCTCGGTCTCCAGGAATATCTGAAAGTATCATCTCTGTGAATTTGGGATGCATGCTCCATCCGTCTTGGTTCTTGGACAAGACAGGACTTTAATCAGCCAAAAAGAATACCAGTAAGGAAACTCTCCGTCCCCGGGAATATCTGCAAAGATCTTACCTTGTCTCTGTGAATTTAACCAGCATGCTCGGTCTGTCCTGGTTTCGTCTCCATCTGAACCATCTTTCTATTGTTCTAACCGACCAGTCGAGCTGTTTGGCCAGTCCCTCAAGACGCTTCCTGTCTGGGCACTTTGAGACTGTCTTGTAAACCTTCTCAAGGATGGTGCTGGGTGTTGCGTCATAATGGTTCTTGGATTTTATTCCAGCTAGGAGCCCAAGGGGTGTGGCGATACATCTGACAAAAATAAAGAAATAGAATTGATTGATTTAAATCATTTATGTACAATACAAAGAAAATGAAAGTTCTAAGATATTGTCAGGGTTCTTTAACTTCTTGGAGACTTGCTTGTTAATTTTCTAAAGAATTGCGATTGTTGTTGCTTCATAATAGTTCTTGTTTTTTATTCCAACTACTGGTACTGTTTGTGACTAAAAGGTATGGCAATACATCTGAAAAAGAGAAAAGAAATGAATTTTTCAACAGATTGTCTGATTCTTCGAGATCTACTTGTAAGCCTTCTCAATCAGATGGTGATGGTCGGCGTTGCTTCAAAGAGGTTCATAAATTTTATAGCTTAGTAGTGCTATGAATAAAATGGTAATTTTCTTCATCTGCCCCATGGTCAGTTGTGAGTCTATGGTCAAAAAGATTTACATTCATTGGTGTCAAAGCATGACTGAACTGCAGCAGGACAGGATACTATTTTGATGTGAACAAAAGACATGAACAAAAAGACGATGGCCCCAGAACGGAATTATACCACCTGTAGATCCGAGGTATGCAGGAACTGGCAAAACTTCAAAGGGAGTGGTAAAGTAGATAGACTTAATTCCCAGTTATTGACCTATATCATAATGCACTATCAATGTGCACTGTTGCTGTTCAATATGGCAAACTGCCTCCAGATATATCAATGCATAGAATTTAAACTCTTGTTATATACTGGTCAGCAAACTTCTAAAACTTTAAGCTGTCCACATTTACCTGTCATTGGATACCAAAACATTACCGGTATTAAATCAAAAACATCATATAAATTAGGCAATGCACAGCATCACACACAGGGCGCTATAAATAAAAAATAAATGTATTTGAGACTTGTGATAATTAATTTGCTCTTTGAAGGCCTAGATGGGCTATTCTAATGATCTATTACTGCCTTCCCCTCCCCTCTCCCTCTCCCCTGAAGGCTCAACCTGTCATATACACTGTACAATGCAATTTTGTACCAAAACCAAACTGTGGAACAAAATAATTCAGACATACACTGATACAGCAGTCCTAGTTCACAGGCCTTTATGTAATGAAGGTTTTCTTTAGAAACCCCGAAACAAACATCAGTCAATGGGGTATTCACAACTTAATCAAATGCTGGAGTACGGTTGACTTTACTCATTCACACTGTGAGTAGGAGAGAAAAGGCAATGATGTACACAGCTTTACTCATTGTGTACAATATAGTAAGGAAGCAAACAAGGACTGGGGCTTGTATACATAGCAACCTGTCATCAATGTTTACCGCCCGAGAAAGGAAAGATTGGGGTTTGGATGCAGGGCTGGCAGTTAAGGAGCCTTCATCCATGCCTCCATTCCTCATCTTCATATTTCAAAATTCAAGTCCGGTCTCCCAATAATTATTTTTTTAGTAGGAGCCCTGCATACATGTAGTCTAAGCCTTATGGCCTTCTTGCAGGCAGCCAGTGATATAAAATCTGTACGAGATATCCTGATTCAGTGCAGTACATGTTTGTCTTTGTATTGTAATCCAGCCTTTACAAGGCATGTACAGTACATGCCAATGAGGGTTAGTAAACAGATTGTTTGTATTTGTGAAGACTTGAAGAGGTTCCATCCATTTAACATGGTGGCACAGGTACAGAAGCCCTAAGACATACAATGCAGGACAAGACACCAAGGAGTCCTTGTACCTGTAGACCTACAGCAACTGTTGGTTTGGCCCTTTGAGGAGCCAACAAGGTATAGAGCTCCACATTGATTAGTTATGGGAGAAAACTTTGAAGAATCTAAACCATTTGGGAAATTCACAAACATTTTATTGGTAAAACTTCAATAGCAAAGGTTTCTGGTTTCATAGAAAACAGGAGCAGATAGTAAGTTCAGAAACTGTAATTCTCAGTGAAACCTATATAAAGAATGCTCAAGGGAAACATTAAAAGTGGTCTTTATATGCAGGATTGCAGGTGGCACTGGTTTTTATTAACAGGTTCCTTTAGTGCAGCTGGTTTTCAATGAGAAACCATATTCAAGGGAAATGAAACATGTGATCTTTATAGTCAGGTGGTCTTTCTAAACAGGTGATTGCTAATGCAGGTTTGACCGTAGTTTCATGGGAATCTCTGAAATAATGTTGTGTTTTTTGTTTTTTGGTAAATTTACTTCATCACGGCTAAAAAGCCTGCTATCAGCCAAGAGCTGCTTTTCAGCAAGGCCGTGAACAGCAAGTGAACTCAACAAGTAAACAAATTTGATTTGATTTTATTTTATTTTATTTATTCATCATCAATAACATCAGTGATTAAACATTTGAATACATCGTGAATGGTACATGTTCATAAATGAATATTATAGATCATATTAAAGAAAAACCTAACAAAGTATTGATATGCTAGACATATGTCTTTTCTCATAGAATATAGAAGGTGATGAAAAGGAGCCAAATAATAGCACATGTGCTAGTCGAGTCTGGCCCCTGTTCTTAGCACACACTTGGCAAAAATAAATATATCATTATCAAAAAATAAAACTTGACAGTAGAAGTATACATGTTGAGTAATACCGTAGCACAATTTCTACACTCCAAATATAATTATGAAGAGGATATACCAGGTTAAAAAGTCATAGATACATGTATCTACAGATTATTTATACAAAAAAATTGCATTTTTTTGACAAAAAAAAACAACAAAAATGTAATATGGAGATTATTTACAATATATACATGTGTACTTGCATAATTCAATCACTTATTCATCAAGTTATCGTTGAGATGTTTACGAAAAGTGTTTCTAGACCCTTTGTTTTTTATTTCATCGGGAAGTTCATTCCATAATCGGGTTCCTACACAAGTTACTGAAAATTTGCCTTGTGTTGTTTTATACAGTGGTATACGTAGATGGCCCTTTTCTCTTTTTCTTGTATTGTATCTATGCTCAATTTTATCACAATAATCCGTCAAACAGTGAGGTAAATTATTATGTACTAGGTCATACATAAATGTACATAGAGACAACTCATAGAACTTGTTAATATCTAAGATTTTCAATTCGTAAAACAATAGTGCTGAACGACTCATAAAATGGCTAAATGTGATTGTCCGTATGGCCATCTTCTGTGTATACAGTATGCAATTTAAGTGAGACTTGTAAGTGCTCCCCCACACTTCAATTCCGTATGATATATGAGGTTGAATAAAGGTTTTATACAACAACACTAGGATATTTCTAGGCACAAAATGCCGTAAGCGGAAGAGGATTCCTACTTTTTGTCTGATGCATTTATTAACCATTTGTATGTGGGGTTTCCAAGTCAAGTGTTTATCAATCTTTATCCCAACAAAGAGCGAAGAATCAACTTCTATTATTTCAGCTTCTGATATAGCCAGTTGCCCTTGAACATTAATCTGCCGTCTCTGGTTTCTTATTAGCATATAACTCGTCTTTTGTAAATTAATTGTCAGTTTATTAGCATTACACCAGTCTGAAACAATTTGAAGATTTGTGTTCACTTCAGTCATATCAATTTCTTTTTGCCCTTCAGGAAATGTATGGAATAAGTTTGAGTCATCCGCAAAGAGTCGAAAGTTAAAGTAACGTGTAGCAAATGGCATATCATTAATATAAAGTAGGAAAAGCGTTGGGCCTAGGACAGAGCCTTGCGGTACACCACATGTTAAAGGCAGCATGGGAGATGTTACATTTCCGTACTGTACAAATTGAAATCTTCTATAAAAATAGTCCTTAAACCACTGTAATGCTATTCCTCGTATTCCATAGTGTGAAAGTTTGCTGTATAAAATATCATGATTAATTGTATCAAATGCTTTCTTAAAGTCTACAAATATCCCAAGTGTGATTCTTCCCTCATCCATTGAATTCCTCAAAGTGTTAACTAAATTTATCATTGACAATTTTGTACTGTATTTTTTACGGAAGCCATACTGGTGCTCATATAATACATGATTTTTTTCAAGAAAGTCAAGAAGCCTATTATTTACAATTTTTTCAAAAACCTTCCCAAGAACAGGTAATACTGAAATAGGTCTATAATTTCCTGCTTCATCTTTAGGTCCTTTCTTATAAACAGGTGTCACTTTTGCTATTTTAAAGGCATCTGGGAATTTACCAGAGGTGAAAGACAGATTGAAAATAAATGTAAGGGGAGAAGTTACATAGTGCACAGCATCTTTTATCAGCTTGATTGGCATATTATCATACCCACTAGCTTTCTTTACATTCAAGGCTATTAAATGGTTGTTAACCTCAGTCTCAGTAACTGGTTTCCAGAAGAAAGATTTGTCTACACCATCGTCTAAAACTTTCTCTGTATTACGATTTGTGTTTGGTATGGCATTCGCCAAATTTGGACCAACATTAACAAAGAAGTCATTAAATGCATTTGCAATATCTTGTTCATTACACAGGGTTTCATTAGTACCAGTATCATTCACACACAATTTATCCACCACTGTTGGCTTAAACGAATTGTTTCCACCACTTAAAATCTCGTTTACAGTCTTCCATGTTTTGCTAGTATCACCCTTATTTTCAAGGAATATCCTACTATAGTAATTTCTCTTTGAGTTTCTGATTATTGTAGTTAACATATTCCTGTACTTCTTGTATGTTGTTAAATAGACAGGATTGTGGTTGGTGGCAAGAACCTGTGAATACATTGTATGTTTCTTTTTTATGGAATTCATTATAGCTTTTGTAATCCAAGGTTTCTTAGGTTCGTTCTTTCTCCTTTTACCATGTTGAGCTACAACTGGTGCATGCTCATCACACACTTTTGTCATGATTTCACAAAAACGGGAGTATGCGAGATCAGCATCATCCGCTGCATAAACTGATTCCCATGTTATATTGGCAAGCTCAGCATGGAATTTTGTAACATCATAGTTCTTGTAAGAACGAGACATTAATTTTCCTCGGCAAGACTTTTTCTTAAATTGTATATTAGACTTAAAAATGGTAAAGATCGGAAAGTGGTCTGTAACGTCAGATTCAATTATTCCTGCATGAATACTGGGAACATTCATATTGGTATATATATGATCAATCAAAGAGAAGCCATGTTGCGTTACTCTAGTAGGAAAATTAATCAATTGATGCATGCCGATACATTGCATGGAGGTGAGAAAGTTATCAGCTGCCATTTCATCGCCTAGAAGATTGTGAAAATACAAAATTATATACAAAAGAAATCACAAAACTTATCCTATATTAAAGGTATTACAAAGTTTTGGGAAATTTTGAAACATGGGTGGATAGTGATTCTTTACAATTTGGATATATTTGGATGGCCCTGTGGATGTATTAAAAACACTAAAATCTTTAGGCCTAAAACACTTCTGCTTTCGAGAAAAATTGAATACCTATACAAATTTACCGGTGCTCCCTGTAAATGTTGATAAATTTCAAATAGCTCCTACGATCGTACAACTGTAGCTGCGACCATGAAAATCTCAGAATATGTAGTTGTGGTATATAATTTCCGAACGGGAATAGCTAATCGGTCGATTTTAGTCAAGAAACTTTGTTTTATAGCTTAATTAATATCTTGACCTTGAGAGGGAGCTATACAATATAAAGTGTTTATTATTTACAATTTCATTACTTTAGAGTCAATTTCGACCGCGACAACGAACAGTGAATATTGTAGGATCGCATATGCTTCCAATATGTTCATTTGAACCAAATTCACAACCCCATACCAAAACTTTGTATTACCTTTAACTGAAACAACTATAACGTGGGTCGGGGTGAGGGATTACTGAAACCACTCCGACCTAGCTGTTCCTATTCTAACATCCTAACACTAGCTTCTGTGAACAAGGCCCATGTTCATAGGGGATAGAAACTCAAAAGCCAATTGAGGATCAATGCATTTTGTTTGAATCAACTGTTATGTGACACCATATTGATTATTGATCTACGGAGGTGAACAAACTTTTCTAAGCTTGGTCTATGCCTGGTCCTTGCATCCTTTAACCACCTTCAATGAACTGTCACACAATAGAAACACAGACAATGAGCACATAGTGATGGGCATACAAAGAGCATGGAAGATAATGACATTTGTTTGGCAGGGAAGTCGGTGGTTATACTATTCTTATAAAAAGTACAAATACATACGTGTAACTGGCTTTTGCACAACAACACTGGCAAACCTGGCAAACTGAAACTAGAAGACTGCTCATTGCTTGAGTATAACTTTCTAAGTTGATTCAATTACTTTTGTATATAAAAGTAAATGTATCTACAATTCTACATGTTATTTTACCTGAACAGGAGGTTAGGGGTATATATCCTACATATTGAGAAGAAAAAAAAATCAGTTACCGTAAATCAATATTACATCAATTTTTATCGCTTTGACTTCAATGCCCTGGAGGTATGCATGCACATGCACAGGCTATACAATAAGAAAGTTTGTTTCGTTCGATCAGGATTATTTGCTTATCCTTGGTAATTAATTGGGTAACAAGATTTAAAAAATGTCAGTGACCAATTGCCCCAATTGGCCTTGCATAATTTTCCCCACTGGTTTGTAGTTTTTGTTAAAGGCTCACATACTATGCTTCTAAAGTTCTAATATAACTGGAGGCCACCCCTTTCTGTTTACTAATATACTAAGGTTACTACTGGTATAGTCGAATCTGAAAAGTTCCCTTCTTTACTAAAACACCAAATGATGAACAGGAAAATCTCATTCAGTATACTTTGTTTTGTTATATTGGAGCAAAAAGGATTGTCTCAAATGATATAATATTTGCTTTGGTATCAGGAAATATACCACAATAACACCATGTATTAGAGTAACAGGTACATATGAGTTTTATAACTAACGACCGTACTCTGTCCTAATTAATAATCAACAGATAGTAGGCTTCAAAAGCTCACATAGATGCACGTATCATCATATATCTATGTGCAAATATTGATACTGGTCATATTACTATCTTGAGAAGTTGGGATTAAGTTTTCCCCTTGTTAAAAATAATCTGATAATTTGAAAGATAGTAGTTTAGTCGCACGTATCATCATACATGTTTGTGTGCAAATATTGACACTGGTCATTATGCTACTAATCAGGGAAAAATACTTTTAAAATTTTGGGGGCTACTTTACAAGCTTGCTTGCATGAAAATAACACTCTTCAATTTGTTTTGCATTGAACTCTATTCGAGTTTTTTTGGGCTCTTTTATGACTTTCAGGGGCTCTTTTTGGCATTTCAGGGGCTATTTCGCCTCGTGCCCTCGTGCCCCTGTGTATTTTTCCCCCTGAGTACTAATATTTAACCTCTTGAGTCTTGGGATTAGGTCTTCCCCTTGTTAAAAATAATCTGATACCCAGGGTCAGGTTTAGTTGAACATTGATGACAGGTTGAAAAACAGAAAACACATGATTGCATTCACTATAAAACACCTTTTACAACTCTCAAATCAAGTAATCAACCCATTTATCTCAAAGCTGGCAACATCTCAAAAAACAATAGAATTATCTTGCTCATTATCTCCCTAAGGACCTAATACAAATTTGATATTTGATAAGATGTATCGGTAATTGTAAGTCTTCACCTGCATGGACCAGGTAGTTAACGTATAAGGGCGGGTGTCTAGACAGACAGTTCAACGCTGAAGTTAAACGTTCACTGTTCAGATTCAGATTTTTTTTTGCATTGCCAATTTGCCCTGCGCGTGTGCCTTTTTACACTAATTACTATTATCATATTTAAGTATCAAATTGGTGGTTCCGAAAAAAATTGTTTCTGTGTATACCGTGTGCCTTCTCATTTCAGTCGGATCTATCATTGCAAACTAGAGAGGGGGGGGGGGGGGTATGAAGCACCACTTTTTTAAATCAACCCCTCCCCCCCCCCCCCTCCCCTCTCGAGAAAAAAAAACACTAAGTGAGACTTACATGTAGCTATCTTAGGTTCATCCAGCAATAGAAAAATAAAATATATTTAAAAAATAGAAAACTTTTTTTTTAAACGATGAAATACAAAGAAAATTAAAAATAATGTACGGTATAGTTTATATGCATTATATTTTTTTACATTATTGTTATTGTTCATTCTCACATATTTTCTTGACTATCCTAGAATGTGGAACAAGTTGCCTGAACATCTGAAAAGCATAGGATCCTATAAAACCTTTATCAATTCTCTGAAAACATATCTCTAATTCACCACTTCATAAATAATAAGAATCATGAACTCAGTGCATTTTTCTTTTCTTTTCTTAAAGTGCATAGTGACATGCAATTTTGCCTATGTGTTATGCGCTATATAAAAATGTTTAATTATTATTATCATTATTATTATTAATGGTCAAACCATATTATGTCGATAGAAAACTAAGGAATTAAAAGTAAACAAAGAAATACAAATAAAATATGAACTAGCATTTTGTTTGTACTGGGACCTACTAAATATGTATCTATGTGAAGTTGAACTTCTCACCAAACTAATTTTCCAACCATTTTATAATGTAAAAGTAACTGCAAAAGAAGTAGGTTTACTGGTATGTTTTGAACATTTTGACCCCAAAATGCATTTTATATTAGCTAGATCTACCGGTAGTTATTACATAAGTTTAAGAAATAAATTAATTATAAAAAAATAAAGCAAAATATTGAAACAAATATTGTTGTCATGTTGTTCAGTATTCCCCTTTGGCTTTTCAATATGTGTACCAAATTTCATCTTCATATCACCAACCATATCCAAGATCTTAGCCTAAGGGGGGGGGGGTGTCATGATCATGATGCCCCCCCCCCCCCAGCCCCTGGCCTGATTAGTCTTAGAAACCCTCGAAATACCTGACCTTGTTTAAGGGTTAAGGCTATTTAACCTTATCCATGCAGACTAAACCCATGTTATTGGTGAACATTTATCAAACAGTAACACTACAGTTAAATTTAATATAAGTGACAGTCTATTGTTCATGAATTACCGACCCGACGCGCCAGGGTTCGTTACGCCATGGTAACTCCACGCGGCGGTGTAGGCCTAAACACCCACCGAAAAGCAAAATAAGAGCCACTTACCGTTCGAAAGCAGTGCGGATGAGAAGAAGAGCAACGGCTAACGGAAAAATTACAGAAAGATCATTAATCCGGGGATAAACGGCCTTGTCAGTGTTTTTAAGGTCTGACCATGAAACATTAGATGGTAGCCAAAACCATTCACTCCAAATCCAAGATGTTTCAGCAGCCATTATGACTGTCAATTTTCGAAATTGGCACTTCTCAGCTCCCGAGAAAGAAACTGACTTGGTCCTCCTTGATATCCTCCGAGGAGCTAGCTCAGTGCAGCAGGCTCAATCAATTTGTTTGTTGTCAATGTGTGTGTGTATTGGGTTTTTACAGACGTGTATCAATCAGATATGATTATTTACGTCTGGGACCGACCTTTAAACGTCACCATCCGAAAGACGTGACTCAGTTTCGAACCTGCGTCCTCGGCTGAATCAGTTTGTAACTTCCACTTTTTAGCTGGATTACAGGCGCACGCCACAACGCCTAGTTGATTAGTGTCTGTTTGTTTTAGATGGCGCTCTTCAAAATCGTGTATGGTGTACGTAAATGTCTATCGTAACTTGTCATCACGGCATTTATCTTGACCAGATTGGGATTGTTTTTTTTTAATAATAATAATCTCCAGTCCTTTTCTATTATTGAATTTCAGTCTTAAACTGTATTTATTCGTACAAATGTGAAAGTCCTAGACTTCCTTGACCCTTTAGGCAATAAGTGATTGTGGTGATAATTATTTTTTCTACATGGTTTATCACGTGTCATTAATAATAACAAGATGATATATAGTTGATAAATAGCGGTATTCTTAGAAGTTGATGATTTACAATATGACGTCATGTTCTAAATAACTGAGGTTAAACAATTTGACGTACCTATACATTTTTCAATCTGACAGGATCTTCCTCAGTATAGTCAACGGAAAAAATAATACAAGTAAAAAGCCTTAAGTCAGTATAGACCTTTAAACATAACCCCTAACACTTTCATGCGGGTTTTTTTGTGTGTGGGGGGGGGGGGGGGGGTAAATAAAAAGGGATCAAATATTGTTGTCCCTGACAACTATACATAATAGAAATGATTTCGGCAAGTTCATTATCATCATTATTACTGGGACGATTACGTAGAAAGGGGACCCGTGGTCCCACCAGAAATACTGTATAACATGAATTTTTGTCTTCATACCTATCTCGAGGGTGAGGGAAATTTGATATTAATATGATAAGAATTTCTTATGGCTGTAGGCTAGAGCAGAGTCCACTATACAAGACATTTTTGTCGGAAAATTGAAGTCCACTCCTGGCACGGTGCATGAGTGACAACACCAGTCTGTTATTGGGTGACACCCGAATGGTGTCAATATTGTCAAATTTCCCATGAAAACCTATATCTTTTCATTTTTAATTTTCATTTCATTTATTTTCATATTTCTCATGTTACATATACATTTCAAAATAAAGTACAAGTTTGTTTTTTGGTGTGTGATAAAATAACAATCAATAATACAAAATAAATAACAAAGATAAATGGTCAATAGAGTACTGATTTAACTGAGAGAAATACGTGAAAACAAGCTTGTCAAGCTGTAGGCCCCGGTGAAATAATTATGGTAATGAATGGAGGACGGATATAGTGACCAAAAAAAATAAAAAGGGAAAGATAAAAGAAACATAATTATGAGCCAGTAAAGTTTACTACGCAATGACTCTGTACACCCTGCATGGTGGTCAAAAGGGATAGTCAGAAAGGTGGCGCTGTTCAACTATTGCTCATCGGTTTATGTCCTCAGAAAGTCCCATTTGCAGGTCAAAAAATGAAAAGGTTGAATTCAAACGGCATTTGAAAGACAATACTTATTAAGAACTTCCCTCAAAACCTAAGGGTTTGACAGTGAAGTCTAGAAAGTAAACGGGTTTCCTAGCATTAGTTGAATACTAGGACACTGCTAACGATTATATAATATATGACTTATTCAAAATTCCTGCAAAGTTCTATAGAATTTGATGTTGGCTGCAAAAGATCTTAAACGTGTCGTGCAAAATAGACGGCATAGTGAAAGAATTATGGTCTGAATAAACGAGGGGGGGGGGGGAGAAGAAAAAAAGGGGGGAAAAAGAAGAAGAAAAGTAAAACAGTAAAACGGCGCGATTTTTTGGAAAAACCTGGATCCGCCACTGCGTCAACCCCCTCCCCCCTTCCTTGGCAAAAAGCTAGATCCGTCCCTGGCGGGATCTGGGCAGTCCCATCCTGATGTTAAGTTCGTTTTTGCTATTTAAAAGGAGCTGAAAAATGAGAGGAACAGGCCAGTGAGAGTTTGAGCAAATTCTGATTTAAAGTAAGAAAGCTTTGAGTTTTGAAAGTTGCGATCAATCAAAAAAAAAATTCCAGGGAACTCTGTCACGTATCTTGCGAATTCCGCTCCCATTTTGCTCTGTACTAAAACACAATTAAAAAATTTCCCTCAAGAAAATGTTCGACCATACATGCAACATCAATGTAATTATTGCAAATATTTTTCTTCCCAACCCCTGTATGGAAACAAATATATTCCGTCATCTATTGTATGTATAGGCCTACACTGTATAGGAGAGGAGCTTAATTAATAGCCTAAATGTTGCGTACTATCTTTCCCCCTATAAAGACCTTCATGCTCCATAGCAATTTCATTTGCGGATCCATACTCTTGCTGCAGGCGAGGGGGGGGGGGGGGCACACATACGAAGAAGAAACAATTGTGACAAGAAAACAAACCGGAAAACAAAAAAGAAACCAACAAAATTTATTTCTTTTACTTAAAAAAAAACAACTCCTGACCAAACTTCCCAGACTATACAACAGCAGCAGAAAATGAAAATGAAAGCAAATTGCAAAAGTTTTACAAAAGACATTTAAAAAGTTCGTCCTGCTGTTTTGGGGGTCTGACATGAGTTTCGGGAGGGGGTGTCACCGCACCCCTTCACCTCTCTGGACCACGCCCCTGGATGGTGGATGGATAGGCCGAGTACCGTTTTAATTTTTTAGTCTACACCGACGGACCCATTTTTACACTGCGACGAGTCATAAAATTGATGATAGTGTGAAGTTCAAATTTGTATATCAAAATTACCTATGCATACGTTCTATTTTATCTCGTTTCAATAACTGTTTCTCTCAAAATCAAAACCAACAACTTTATGTTGTTTACTTGTTGTGTATTTTGTCAAAAGTTGAAAATAAGTAACTCAGGGTCTTCATCAAAGACTAGGTAAGGTCACCGATCATTCGATCATGATGCATATAATACACACGCTTATCTCGCGTGATGACCGCTTGTCTTCTGCTAGAAGCTTCGCTGGATGTGGTCTGAGGATCCCGAGTGTTACGTTAAAAACCTTGTTTTTACTGCAAATCCAGATATTCAGTGAGTATAGAGAAAACATTTTATTTATTTGGTATATTCTAAAGGCATTTATATGCATTGGCGTTTATAATGGAGTGAACTAAGACGTGAATTTGTGGTACTTTGTCGATGCTTTGTTGAATGATTTGTGCGTAATGTGCACATACCAACCCCCCAGAGCTCAACCGTGTGCAGGCTCTCAGTTTCTGGTAGCTCATCCGCAGCTCAGCTCAGCTCAGCTGCTTATAATTCACTGGCACTGCCATTGATGGCGCAATTAATGGCATTATTTAGATTATTTAAGCTTGTTGTCTATTAACATCGACTTTCTAGGTCATGAATGTAAAGTCAGTTATATCAGCATTATCTTGAAATAGGAAACCATCGTTCACTCCACACATTGACATTGCAGTGTTGGTGGACAGAGCTGAGTAGTGGCATGGCAGTGCTTCATGGCATCACAAGCATTATTGATATTAATACTATTTGCATTGCCAAGCCCATGCCCTGGGCCTGGGCCTGGGCCATGGCCATGGTCTTTCTTTTCCCACCGGTAAGGTTATTATGGTAGGGCTGATAATTTACTGTAATATTACCTGAGTAGCTGGGCTGGGCAGGGGTGTTTAAAGTTTGTCCACATTAAAAAAAAGTTAAGATTTGAGAATGTGATATTCGATGCATGATTTTTCTCATTCTCCACAAATTTGTATCATCAATTACAACCAAATGACAGCAACATTTTTAGAGTCTGACTGGAAATGAGTTCAACCAGAAAATGTGTAACCAAGAATTCTGGCGATATTGCAATCTCAAAATTTGATGTCAGATCGGGGTCATAATAACAGCAAGTCCTTAATTCATGCATGAGAGCTTACATGTACAGCTGATAGATTTAGCTATCCATCAAATTTGAAGGCAAGATAATTGCATACAGTAGATTTTAAGGCAAAATATTATCCAATCAGTTGTTATCACTTGGATGATATCAAGTAAAGATTTCCAGACCCTTGTCAATGATGATAAATTCCATTTTTATCTTAATGGATGCAAAAGACTGCAAAATTTGTTGATCTTTAGTCAATAATTTCATAATTTCTCACCAAATTTTAAAGAAAATGTTGGCACTAGCTTTTTACAAGCTAAAGTATGGATCTGTGCGCAATCTTGGGTCATGTGCAGAGTACATTTACGGTCACACTACCATACTATTTTGGGGGGCATAGATTTGTTCTAACTTTCTGAAAGCTTCAGGCTCTTATTGAATATCAATGGTCTTTGGACCATTTCCAACTGGTCAACAGATCTTTGGGCAGAAGGGTCCCATACTGCACTTCCAAACTCCATTAATGGAGGAACAAGGGCCTTGAACGCCAGGGTCTTTGGCTGCGTTTATCGACCAGATTTTTGGCTAGAATCAGGTTTCTCAAACGTCTTTCAGGCAAATTTAGAAGGTGATAAACGCAAAGCCTTTTTATGCCTCCGCCACCGAAGGTGGTGCCGGAGGCATCATGTTTTCGGGTTGTCCGTCCGTACGTCCGTCCGTCCGTCCGTACGTCCGTCCGTCCGTCCGTCCGTCCGTCCGTCCGTCCGTCCGTCCGTCCCGTTTGACCGTTATCACAATATCTCAAGAACCATTTAAGATTTAAACTTAAGACTCAGGAATAGTATTTATCACCATAGGAAGACGATCTGATTAGATTTTGGAGTACGTAGGTCAAAGGTCACAGGTCACAGAGGTCAACTTATGAAATTCCTTGTATTGAGTTTGTTAGCGCGATATCTCAAGAACCATTTGAGATTTAAACTTAAGACTCGGGAATAGTATTTATCACCATAGGAAGACGATCTGATTAGATTTTGGAGTACGTAGGTCAAAGGTCACAGGTCACAGAGGTCAACTTATGAAATTCCTTGTATTGAGTTTGTTAGCGCGATATCTCAAGAACCATTTGAGATTTAAACTTCAAACTTAAGGATAGTATGTATCACCATAGGAAGACGATCTGATTAGATTTTGGAGCACGTATGTCAAAGGTCAAGGGTCACAGAGGTCAACTTATGAAATTCCATATATTGAGATTGTTATCATGATATCTCAAGAACCACTGGAGATTTAAACTTCAAACTTAGTGATAGTGTGTATCACTATAGGAAAACAATCTGATTAGATTTTGGAGCACGTATGTCAAAGGTCAAGGGTCACAGAGGTCAACTTATGAAATTCCATACATTGAGATTGTTATGATATCTCAAGAACCACTGGAGATGTAAAAACTTCAAACTTAAGGATAGTATGTATCACCATAGGAAGACGATCTGATTAGATTTTGGAGCACGTAGGTCAAAGGTCAAGGGTCACAGAGGTCAACTTATGAAATTCCATACATTGAGATTGTTATCATAATATCTCAAGAACCACTGGAGATTTAAACTTCAAACTTAATGATAGTGTGTATCACCATAGGAAGACAATCTGATTAGATTTTGGAGCACGTAGGTCAAAGGTCAAGGGTCACAGAGGTCAACTTATGAAATTCCATACATTGAGATCGTTATCGCGATATCTCAAGAACCACTGGAGAATTTTCACTTCAAACTTAATGATAGTATGTATCACCATATCATAATATCTCAAGAACCACTGGAGATTTAAACTTCAAACTTAATGATAGTGTGTATCACCATAGGAAGACAATCTGATTAGATTTTGGAGCACGTAGGTCAAAGGTCAAGGGTCACAGAGGTCAACTTATGAAATTCCATACATTGAGATTGTTATCATGATATCTCAAGAACCACTGGAGATTTAAACTCCAAACTTGTTTAAATTGCTCTATGGCGGAGGCATCATTTTCGACTGCGCGCAGTCAAAATTCCATCTAGTTTAAAGGGCTTTAGATATGGGCATATCTAAAGACGCAAAAAGGTGTGTTTTGTATGTGACATACAGCCAGAATCATGTTTCTGAGAGATCGATAAACGCAAAGCTGTTTTGAACCTCACATACAAATAGGACCACCCAGGTGTTGTGTACAAGCATGTGTGTGAAGTTGACCTCCGAGAAACTGTCTGCTTCCCGGGTCAAAACAGCTGGGCAGACACAAGGCCTTTTTTTTTAATCGTGAAGGGACGATAAACGCGACATCCCGCAAATCACGATCGTATAGTGGGGTATGATAGTGGGGTTCAATAGTGGGGTACGATATGTACATATCTAGTGGCAAGCCCCGATAAACGCGCCCTTTATTGCAGGAGATTTTTATCTTCAGATTTCTCTTGAGGAAAGCAAGGGTGTTGCTTGCTTTCTGGCAGGTGCTGGCGATGTGCTGATTCCACTTCAGGTCCTGTGTGATGGTGATGCCAAGGTACTTGGTGGGTGTCACAGAGTCCAGAGCAAAACCATTCAGCAAGTACTGGTGGTTGATTGATGCAAGTTCTTTTCCTAAAGACAGTGATGACCTGGCATTTTTGGGTGTTTAGTTCCATCTTTCAGTCTGAAGCCCAGTTGCCTAAAGTGCATTTACAGCTTCTTGAAGGTCATTTGCATCTTGTTGTGTCTGGATGGTCAGATACATGATAGCATCATCAGCAAAGAGCCTGACAGTCCAAGACATCTTGACTGGCAAGTCGTTAATGCTTTTGCTCAGCCTGTCTCTTTTCTTGATGAGCTGTCTTATCTTGTTGGTAATTCATGGAAGAAAGGAATTGCTGCTGCAAGACTGCAAGATGTGCAACTGTACCCCTCTTTTTATTCCAGTCTTGAAGGCAGTCCTGACAGATCATTGATAGTTCCACTGTCTGCCTTGTCCCAGTTAGCCTTAGAGTACTGTACATCAGAATCTTCCTACACACTTGCGGCCGTCTGGGAGATGGCATATCCAACTCCACGATAGGACAGTCGTGGTCTGAGACTTTGGGGACCACTTCCACAGATATTCAACTGATATAATATGAGCTATTTATGAACTTTAAAGCTTCTAATTCTGAAGATGAATTGTTTGATTTTATGAGGATGGTTTGGATAGAACTCTGGGAACTCTTTAGTAATTTAAAGCTAAATACTTTTCTTCTACATAAAAGTTGGAAGTGAGGTGTGTAAGAATGTAAGCACACACATGTACCTATAAATGCAATGGAGAGAATACCATGACTCTGTTTTAAGACACTACCAGCCAAAAAAAGTTGCTGGTGTTACTTTCAAACATCAACTTTTATTTGAGGGTACTTCCACAAGTAGACACACACATTCTTACATGCTAAACAAAGCTTCATAGCAACTTGATTCATTCATTGCCATTCAATGCTGCATTGCCAACTCTACCTCATACGTGTGGCTGAAGATTGGAAATATTATTTGTGGGTGAATACAGTGCCAATCACAGGTATAAATGTTGTATGTTCTGTTGTTTGAACTGATTAATGTTTGGACCGAGTGTTACTAAAATCGTCACTCTACATGTAGTCTCATAGTACTGGCACTTGTGTGTCATCACTGAAAATGTCTCATTAGAAATACTGAAAATTCCTCACCAGTTACATGTACATTATCCATACTGAATATTGTTGAGGCAATGATTTAGTACCATTTAAAAAGAATAATAAGTTACATGCACATGTATATTTATAAGGCCTGCTTCTGTCATATGTACAAGTAACATATTTGAAATATGACTTGTGTCATCTATTTGTATAATGTTGGGTTGGACATAATCAGGCAGAAAAAGATGTGACTTTATCTCAAATAAACATTGGAAAGTTGTTTCAATGCCAGTCCTTGGACTTACAATGTTATGCTTTAATGTGCAATTCATTAACTTCACTTTCTTTTTCCATTCCTAGTACTCTACTTTCTGTTCATTAATACTCTGATGGATTCAAGATAAAAAGCTTTAGTATGTCAGTCTGCATTTATTGCGATTCCAATTTTGCTATAAAGCTGCCGCAGAATTATTTGAAATGTCCTTTCTCCTATTTTTCTCAAATTGTATTTTCAGATCAAGTCGCATCCTTTTCTCTTTCCTACTGAAACCCATCTGTGAGTAACTCAACCCACCTCAGGATGTCAGCGAAAGCAATCCGAGAAGCAGGAGGTAAAGCCCTTCTGGGAAGGCATCTCAAATCAGCATCAGTCGCACCGTACCGTGGCGCCACGGTAACAGAGGAGGTTAACTGGGATGAACTCGTCAATGCAAACCCTTGGCTTCTGACAGAGGTGAGAAATAAAACACAAAATTAGGGATGCTTGTTTTTTTTGGTGTGTGTGTGTGTGTGTTGTGATGTCAGTGTATGTGAATGTGCCATACATTATTTTTTTTCATGATGGAGGAAGAAGAGTTAACTTTGGAAAGTTAAAACGGTATCTACCCTCCCCCATCCCCCCCCCCCAAAAAAAAGAAGAGAAATATGTAAAGTGGGGAGAAAAAACAAAATCAAATCAAAACCAAATGATAATTTAGACAGTATAGATTTGTATAAAGTAGTAGATCTATCGAGAAGTGACCAGCAAAGAATAGAAAAACAGTGGATTTTTAAAACAAATGATTAAAACCACATAATTTAGAATAGTAGATATTTAAGGGGGCATCTTGAATGAGTAAGATGAGTGCCCCTCCCTCCCTTTCTCCCCCTCCCCTCTTTCACTCACTCTCTCTCTCTCTCTCTCTCTCTTCTATATATTCCACCTTTTTTTTCCATTTAGTTCTCCTCTCTATAAATCTGTCTCTTCCACCCCCTTCTTTCTCTCCATGTCTCTTGGTCTCTTGGTCTCTCTCTCTCTCTTTCTCTCTCACTCACTTTCCCTCACTCCTGTACCTCTCCTTTCTCTTCTTGTATCACTCTCGCCCTTCCTCCTCTTTCTCTCCCCTCCCCTTCTGTTCTATCACTTTGCTCCCCTCTCCCTCTCCCACCCTCTTCACATATATTTCAAAAATATGATACATGTAGCATGTCTAACATTGACACAAAGAGAATGAAAGGGTACAATATATTTTTTTTAAAGCAAAAAATGACTTCCAAGCAGTCCATGCTAGACATCTGACATGGGTAATTATTTCCCCTGTGGTACGGTCTGTTACCACTAAGTTATATTGATAGGTGAGGTGTGATATCCAATCAAGGATATTACATGCTTGAAGGGATTGTTTATTTAATCATTGTGTGCAGGTTTTACACATCTACATGTACTGTACCTTAAAGGGAATGATCAGCTCATTCATGTAAAGAACTGCTAGAATATTGTTGATACATGTACATGTTTTTTCTCTTCTTCAATGATGTTTGAGAATATCCCATTGATATCATCTTAATAAGAACGTACGCTATGCTCCACTTCTTTGCTGGTGGTGATAGTGGTATTTCTGAATTTTGGTTAATGAATTTATTACGTGTATATTTTTGTGAGCTGGGCATCGCCCAAAATTTTGAGCCAAAATTGTTCAAAACAGCAAAACTGTTCTTCCATAGATACGTGTATGTACTTCACAAAGCAATTGTGCATGCCTAAAAAGAACATGTACAATACACATGTACATGTACTGTACATGTGGAAGTAGGAAAGTAGGACAGGGGAAAGGAGGGGAAAGGGGGGGGGGGGAGAAGCATGAAATGAGATGTACAAGTAGGGCACTTCAATTTCAAGTGAGCACTGCATTGCCACTGGGAAGAAACCAAGAACACTTCTTATTAGGCTTGTCTTCATCAGCTCGAGATTGCCAAATAACCTGCTATTTCAACTTTCCCGATCGCAAATTATCCAGTTAGTTTGCGTCTTCATCAGCCCGAAGTTGCAACTAGCGAGATATTTGGTCGGGATAATCATCCCAAGATATCTTGGGATAGTTTGCAAAATATCCCGCTCTTTGTCTGGTGCGTCTTCACCAGATCGAAGACTCGCACTATGCGTGAACGCTGAGCAAAATATCTCGAGCTAATTTCTCAAGGTCGAGTTTCATGTTTTGAGGTCTAATCTTGAGCTGATGAAGACGCAATTTATAACTTCGGGATTATTTCCCAAATCAGAAATAGCGGGCTATTTGTCAATCTCGAGCTGATGTGGACACGCCTATTTCTAAAGGATCTTCTCTCAACATCTTGTACAAACATACATGTACATGTTTATAAGGGTGTCATGAGAAGTACCTTTGAATTTGCCTTAATTAAGGACTGAGCACTACACGAGATACAATGTACCTCTCACTCATGCACATTTAGTATGTCTTGGCTATTTTAGATGAGAAATCTTGAGTCTGATGTACTTGGGTTTATCACAAAGCACTCCTTCATGGAGGAAATGTTTCTTTTCTAGTCTGAAGTTTCTTTATTTTTGTGCCATTTTATGGCTTCTTTTATCATCAAATAGATTATTAGAATATAAAGGATTCTAAATAAACATGCAGCTAAAAAGTCGTTACTTTGTATTTCTTTATTCACAGTCAAATTTATATAAATTCTGTCAACATTGATTGATTTTAAGTTCATATGACTGTTAACTTTTTTTATATACCTCACTTAAGTAATCCAGCCATCTGATTGTTCGAAATTGCATTCATTAACTTCAACTGTTCCTGTAAAATTCTCGGTAACCATGCTTAAAACATTTCAATATTTTAATAACCATGGTTATTAAAAATAGTTGGTCAGCCTCCATGGTTACCCCATAGGTTTACATGTTAAAAAATGGTTTGAGCGATGGAGGATACCGTATGTGTGCGAAGGATTGGTCGGTAATTTCAATACAATTGAATCTCGATCGATCTTACCGACAATTTTATCTTGCATTGTTGACATGAAGACGAAAATAAACTTCCAAAAACAAAAAAACAACATCTGCCGATAGATCTTGATCTAAGTTCGCGCCAATATGCTTTGCAAAAGTAAAAGAAGAGTCCGTATATGGATCTTTTGCGAAGCATTCATCACACGCGAAGCCGGTTTCAATCCATTTTAATGTATATATTGTACAAAACTGCCATGCATGTTAATAGCGCGTGATGGCCGAGAGGTCTGAGGCGCTGACTTTAGATACTTCACCTTTTGTACGCAAGAGTTCGAATCTCATCTTCGACAAAAATAAAAAATATTTTTTATTTTTTATTTTTTAGTCTATATTTTTTCGGCATATAAAAGTATTAATGACTGCTTTAATATTCGAGAAATAGTTGTTTTCATACGCTCTCGGGAAGGTTACAATTGGGCTATTCCCCTCGGCAAGCCTCGGGGAATAGCACAATTCTAACCTTCCCTTGAGCGTAATAAAACAACTATTTCTCTCAAAGCAGTCATTAATACTATAATGCATTATATGATGACATGTGAAGAAAAAAAATATTACATGGAAAAGTGTTGTAAAAACAAGACAGAATAAACTTTATCTAGAAAAATAGAGGTCGGTGTTTCTCTCTCAATGCTGAGTGCTGAATATTGGAATACATGTAATCAAAGCATGGTTTTTCCCGGAAGATCTCTTGACTACTTTAACCCAAACTCATACGTGCTTAGGTATGCGCATAGTACAACCCTCCCAAATTGTACTGATGAATTCAATTCCCTAGCAAGTCACGTTAGCCGCAGAGCCGGCCGTGGCAATCTCGTTAGAAAACCTAATTGATTTTGCCAAGTACTGTTTGACATTTTGGATGTTTATATTGGGAATGCGATACGAGGAAAGCAAGTGCAGACTGGATAAGGTATCTGAAACTCTAAGTGCTCGCAGGTCCCGAACATAACAGGTTGTTTGCTTGAAGTTTTTTATGATAATGCTTTAAAGGTAATGTCTGATAATGAAAAATGCATTCAGGGATAAACTGTCAAAAGGCCATTCTGAATTTTAGTAAATACATACATGTATAAATAGAATAATAGATAAATAAATTGAAACTAAACCTGACCCTTTGCTTTTGATCAAAAACAGCCCATTTGACAAAATGTTAACAATATGAGGACAAATATTCATCGTACTGTACTGTAGTTGGTGTTAATTTTTGTTTTAATCCATTGGCAAACTTGACAGCTTTTCTTTTGTTAATTGTCCAAATACACATAATGCAACTCTAACTTTCATTTAAAGTTACTAAAAGAAGATACAATACAGCCCTACAGTAGACAATTTTTAGAATATTTACTGCCAAAGAAATGCTTATGGGTATGATGTAATGTAATGAATCCATTGCATTGCTCTGGGATTAAAATTAGAGGGGGCCTGCAATTATCCTGGGCCCTTCAAAGACAGGATGTGTGAATGCCATTCATAGAAATGCTGGTATCAAATTCGCTTCCTTCCTGCCTATGAAATGTCTGTACATTAAAGATGCATGTACTGGTATTTGACCGAGTCCAAGGGTAATTTCTAGAATATGGGAATCTTTGGCATTTAAGATAGGGGTAAAGAAATGAGCAGGATAAAATGATCAAATTAACCTATCTAATACATTTTGGAGAGAGAATTGAGATAAACTTAAAAGTTTAAGACAACCTTGCCACCATTTTTGTATTATTTATTTTCTTCAATTTTTGAGCATAAAAACATAAAGCTGTAGCATACTATTCCGCACTTAATGAATAATAGTATAGTATCATCTTGTAAGGACTGGGAAATTGTGAATGTATTTAAATAGAAAGTTTAATCAACAAGTTGATGCATTCCTATGCAGATTGGATTTAACCTTTCCAGTACTCCCACGATCACATCCTTGCTGTATTCATTATTACTTTATTAAGACATCATTACTGCATATAAGTGAATAAACAGTAGGCCCAATGCTCTGTTTATTAACATTGCATGCATTAATTGAAACAGCATTGACATTTGATTGCACATTGATTAGGACTCTACCATGTAATCATTTACACTATCATAACATTTCTAACAACAGAACTTGAACAAAAAATATTGTGCTCTGGATGTAAGTGTATATAGTTGCTGCTTGTAAGTGTCGGCTTGCATGGTGATGTAGATATACAGTAGGTTTGCGGTTGCACCATGTGAGAGAGAGGGAGGATTGAGGAGTCCTGAAAAGGACTCTGACTCGGTAATCGTTCTTGGGGGAGTGTAGTCCTGACGATGGAAAGTCAACCTGTTTGAAACGTCGAGCCACTCATCCTCTTCAAGCGCTATAGTTCTCCTTAGAACTATATGCTAAGAAAGATAACAAACAGTCCTTTTCAGGACTACACTCCCCCAAGAAAGATTACTGAGTCAGAGTCCTTTTCAGGACTCCTCAACCCTCTCTCCCTCTCTCTCACACATGGTGCACCCGCAAACCTACTGTATAAATGTATATCTGTAATAATGATAAAGATATACATCTTTCATTGTGATAATGATAATGATTGCAACAAAATGTGACATAAGTAAATATTCAGTTTCTAAAGAGTCCTTTACTATCTAGTGAAGATGTTGAAGAATTAGCCGACATACATGTACATACACTACATACACTACACATGTATACAGACAAAGGCATTGTAGCAACAGTCTAGACATAATTCATGTTTGACATCCATGTGTACACATTGTGCAGTGTATATTCCCCAGAGCAAGGTTCCATGAAGGTCCTACTGATAAAGATATTGATTGGCGATGATTGATTTATCACTGATAATCTAATTTAGAACCTGTCACTCCCCATAGGAATGGCAATCTACAGCCATCCCTGGGAGTGAAAGGATCACTTCCACCTAGCTGTTGCAGATGAGAGAATGCAAAAGAGAAAGAGAGAGAGAGAGAGAGAGGGGGGAGGGGAGGGAGTGAGAGAGTGAGAGAGAGAAGGAAAGAGGGAGGGGAGAGACAAGAAATGTTGATAAATTGAAAAACAATTGAATGCTGCTGAGGGATATTTGAGTGTTTTGATGTGTGATCATAATAGGCCCACCCACCTCCCCCTTCTCTCTCTCTCCTCCTCTCTCTCTCTCTCTCTCTCTCTCTCTCTCCCTCCCTCCCCCTCTCTCTCTCTCTCTCTCTCCCTCTCTCTCCCTCTCCCTCCTACCCTTACAGGTTTTTTTACACCTTTTTCTTTTTTTCAAATGCACATGTATGTTTGCAGATATTCCCTTGTTTATATCTAGTATCTGATCATCCTGATGTACAGTACATTGTGATAAAGGCTCCTAACACTAAAGTGAGACTCAATGATTTTCTAAAGATGTGATATGCATTAACTCTAAATAAAAGAAAAGCATTATCATTAATATATTTTCCCATCTATCTCCTGACAGCGTCTGGTTGTGAAGCCTGATCAGCTAATCAAACGTCGTGGCAAACTTGGTCTCATCAAAGTCAATGCTGATCTACAAGGTGTCAAAGACTGGCTTACTACCAGACTAGGACAGAATATTGAGGTAGGACTAGATATCATTCATCATTTTTTCCATATTGTTCTTGACTGCCGTTACTTGTTCATACTGCTTTACTATTTGCACATCAAATAGTATGTTGTTCCCAACTTCCCATAGAAACTTCACAAAAGTTAACCATATGGAAATATAATGTTTTGTGGATTATTAATGCTTGTTCTAGCACTTTGAACAACTTCCATATATAGTACAACTATTCATCAACCCCTTGTTATACTGTGTGGCACTACTAACAGGAGATTCAGTGACATGTATAACGTAGTAGGTCTTTTAACCATTATTGTATTGATCACGATAGCCAATTGCCATATCAATTGATTTTTCTTTTTTTTTTAATGAAAAAAATAGATTTAAAAAACTTTCAATGTTTATTATTTATATTTACATTTCATTCCTGTAGGATTGTGTTAGTGTTCAGGAGATTTTTCTTAATATAGAATTCATGAGATAGCATATTTTCTTGATAATCTCTACAGGTTGGAGCTGCTAACGGCAAACTGAAGAACTTCCTGATCGAGCCGTTTGTTGCTCACAAACCAGAGGATGAGTTCTACGTCTGTATCTACTGCCAGCGAGCTAGTGATGTCATTCTCTTCACCCACGAGGGCGGTGTTGACGTTGGTGATGTCGACGCCAAGGTAGGAACCACCATAGCCTATAATTTAGGCGGAGTGCCAAGCTTTTTTCTTTGCTGCTAGACTAACCCTAAGCAGAACGTCTGATACGGCGAGACTACGAACCGTGAGTCGCGAAGCGGCTCACCGCCTATAATCACTGGTCTAGCTTTAGTCGTTGTTTTTTTATTATCGACCATGAATCCGTGGCAGTTTTTCGTACGAAAAAACCTCATGAATACGAAATGAACTCAACCAATCAGAAACACGTATGGAGAAGAGTCTATGCATATGCATATTATAAATCACGTGACATTACGTCATTTTCTTCATCCAAGATGGCGGGTAGTTCATGCGACGACGATCTTCTGCGAGAAAGTTTATCATATGCGGCCAACAAACTAGGCATTCCTAATGGAAAATTCAGAGAACTGCAGGAATGCGCTATTCGTAGCGTTATTGAAGCCGGCAGGGATATTTTTGTTGCGTTACCTACTGGTTTTGGAAAGAGTGCAATATACCAAGCAATCCCCTTGTGCTGTGATTTTCTACGCGACCACGGATTCTATGATCATGATGACTCGAGTCGTTGCCGTTGGTTTCTTATATCTGATTGGTCGAACGTAACATAGGTGTACCTTATTTGGTAGGGCTGTTGAATGATTCATAGATCCGCCATTTTGAATATATATGAATATTGATTAGCTAGACCAGTGATTATAGGCGGTGAGCGGCTCACGGTTCGTAGTCTCGCCGTATCAGACGTTCTGCTTAAGGTTAGTCTAGCAGCAAAGAAAAAAGCTCGGCACTCCGCCTAGATTATAGGCTAGAACCACCACAGATTACGTAACCAAATTATATGTCAGGTTTAAAGCCCCACTGCTCTACTTATAGCTACTTGCGCCCTCTATATAGCAAACAATGTCTAAGCGGTGCCTGTTGGTCTCCCATGATCCCCTTTTTCTTATCTTATTTGAGAGCTGATTTGATGAGATAGCCACCTGTCAGTGACCTTTCGGGGAGTTCTAATCCCCCTGGCCAAACTAGTGCAGACGGTCTTTAAATTGTATGTAGTTTAGGTACGTGTATAGTGAAACATGTGTATAAAGATTGCTCAAGGGAGATAAGGAAAGTGGTCTTTATGGGCAGGTGGTCTTTACATTTATGTACACGTTTTAATGAGAAACCATTGTCAAGGGAAACATAAAATGTTGCCTTTATATACAGGTGGTCTTTCTACACGGGTGTATATTTGTTCAGCAAAGTTTGTCGTTGTAAAATATATTAGCTTGTCTGCGGCGTACCCAACATACAATGTATGCAAGATGGAATCAATCCACAGAGATGTACAGGGAAAAAATTAATATTTATTTTTTGGGGGCTACTTTTCAAGCTTGCCTGCATGAAAATAACATTCTAAAACTTGTTTTGCATTGAACTCTATGCAAATTTATAGGGGCTCTTTTAGGCATTTCGGGGGCTAATTCGCCCCGAGCCCCTGTGTATTTTTTTCACTGGAGATGTAATGAAACATAATGTAGCTGATGAATTGAATAATTGGTGATCAGGGGTTAGATGGACCATATCTTGCAGTGCGGCGGAACGAGTTGCACAGATGAAGACCTGGCCCTTGTTAATAAGATGACCATCGCAGCCATTGGGCGATGGAAAAACTTAATTTAATTAAATTTAATTAAGGAACTTTACATAACTAATTAACTATCTGTAAGGAGACACAAACAAACAAGGGATTAGTTAAGAGCTCTGTCTGAAATTGATTTGCAGTCCAAGAGAAGTCTTGCAAATATGTACTTCATTGGTACCATTGGTACATGTACATGTATCCTAAGGTATTACTAAAATGAATTCTTAATGAGTTCTTAATATAAACACTACAAACACAATTTATTAACTAGTTTAAAAATAGGTGTAATTAATGATACCATGATAAATATAGGAAATGGATAAATATAGTCCTTCAGTGTCCTAAAAATAGAACAATGATAGCTGCATTATGATATAAATAGCAATAAAAGTAGTTTTGATAACTTAATAATAGAGACACCCATTTGATTAGATTACCTATAAAAAAATTACCTGGCTTACCCAATAAAGCAATGTTGACTTAGAAGATAACTTAAAAGTAGACACCCTCATTTGTACTGCATGGGTATTACTAAAATTAATCTTCAGACCGTTCAAACAAGTTTTATTGATGTAACTAGTTTTAAAATAGGCATGGTTAATGATAACATGATAAATATAGGAAATGTTTACATACAGTATATCACTTCAAGGTCCTGAAAACAGAAGCATGATAAATGCATTATGATATAAATAGCAATAAAAGTAAAAAGATAACTTAATAATAGACACCCATTTGATTAGATTACCTATAAAAAATCACCTGGCTTACCCATTTGATCCTGTATTTAATCTAAAGTGCAATAGTTCAGTTGTTGGTATATACAATCTTATCTACAAACGATTACCAAGAATAAATATGTACAGTACAGTACATGTACAAAAATATACTTTATATGTTTACATAGGTAATGATGTGCCATTACTGTTGCTTTCATATCTCCTTCATTTCAGCCAGTGAGCAAGTGATCGTTAAATAGAATAGAATAAAGAAAATAGTAAAAGAACATATCAAGAATGAAATATGTTCTTTTACTAATTTCTTTATTCTTCCTGGTTAAAGTCACATTTTGTTTCAAGTACTAAGTAGGCTTAGAAATGCTGTGTGATGCGCCTTTTTAAGGTTATGCACCATTCAAAGGCTGGTTAGAATCAAGAAGAGAAGATTAATGTAAATCAAATGATAAAGTCGACAATTTGTGTTTCCCTTCAGAATAGTTTTTCTCATTGAAACATGTATCAAACCTGTACATAAAGACCACCTGCCAATAGAGACCGTTCTTCTTGTCTTCCTTGAGCAAACTTTCTGTATACATTTGCAGAGATGCCAAGAAGTAAGAAGAAATCGTATTTAGTACGATAATAAGAGTGAAATATGATAATTTAATATCACCTCTTAAAATATGATTTTTCATCATAATCATTAAAAAAAAAAAACCATAAAAACAGCCAAATCGCATAGATAAACATCTCCACAACCCTCCAAAAAACTTTGCTTTACAATTTTCTCATTAAATTTTAATGAAAGAGCAATCATTTTGCTCAAATTTACTGGCCCGGGGCCGATGGGCCAGTGGTAGTGTCAAGTTTTTGTGCAAATCTGATTTTTTAGGATAGGTACTCAGTCTGTTTTTTGTGTCAAGAGGTTGGCATCTCTGCATTTGACTGTATTATGAATATGAGTATGATTATTTAATATTTTGAATGTTTCTACAGGCTGTTAAGCTGGAGATTGGCCTGCAAGAAGAGATAACAGCTGAGGGAATCAAGACTGCGCTTCTCTCCAATGTAACTGCTGGGAAGAAGGAGTAAGTTCATTTTCCAATTTATATTTAAGGCCATAAAACTTTGTTTTTCTTCAGTCCTACAGAAGGTGAAAAGGTGTATTTGGCATTCCTTGATATGATTGGTTATGGTATTTACTCACTCCCTTTGAAATAGGAATTGCCCTCAGGCATGCTGCAAAGAAAATAAGAAAATCAACCAACCATAGATGTATTCTTTGAAAAAACAATCCTACAAATACAAGGAAAGAAATATAGGTATGTATTTGAGGACAAAAAATAACAAAATAAGATAAAAACAGAATATGAAATGTTCTGCATTAACAGAGATCCATGTATGTAGGATACATGATCATCAATGCTCTTTGGCTTGCACAAGGAAGATGGATATAGTGAAGTCAGCATTTATTTCATAATCAAAATAGACAGAAGTACAAACAGAGCATATATCAATAGCATACAAGGCCCAGGACAATAGATTTGTGATAGAAATTAAGAGAGATTAAGAAATGACTCAATGACAGGTGAGACATTGTCCTGAAATAGCCCTTGATACGACCTTTGACCCTTCCGTGCAAGGAGACTCAATAGGCCTGTCTTCATCAGCTCAAGATTGCCAAATAGCTCGTTATTTCTGATTTGGGAAATAATCTCGAAGTTACAAATCACGTCTTCATCAGCTCAAGACTTGACCTCGAAACTTGAAACTCAAGCTCGAGAAAATAGCTCGAGATATTTTGCTCAGCGTTGGCGCATAGTGCAAGTGGTCGGGCTGCAGACGCACCGGACAAATAGAAGAATATTTTGCGAACTAGCGGGATATTTTGCAAACTAGCCCAAGATATCTTGGGATGATTATCTCGACCAAATACCCCGCTAATTGCAACTTCTGGCTGATGAAGAGCGCAAATTAACTGGATATTTTGCGATCAGGATAATTCAAATAAAGGGATATTTGGCAATCTGGAGCTGATGAAGACAGGCCTATGGCTGTCCCCTTGAGCCCATTATCATGTCATATGCAACGTGCCATTGGCCCAGTCAGCAAACATCCACAATCGCTGTGTAAATTTACCCTTCCAGATATGTATTTGTGCTTAGAGTGCAGTTGGCTTGGTTAGGTTAGGAAGGTGTGTAGTGCTGGGCAAATATGTGCTATCAGCATAGTGCTGTAATATTGCATTATGGCTGGTATGCTCAGGAATGCATCTATTGTATTGTGACACTATAGTGCTAAACTGCTATATGTGCGCTTATTTCACCTTCAAGTTCAAGTCTCAAGTTTATTTTGTTTCACATTTCACAAAAAGATTTCACATAATTGACAAAATTAGAACATACATAATATGAAATATACTCAAAATATCACATTATATAATCGATTCTTTGTAAAGTCGTCAAAATGAATAGTATTGAATAGTAGGTTATACAGGGTGACATGTGAGGAACCTTTTAAAAAGCTCAGCTTGCAGATTATAGGTTCCCATAAATAAAACTTAACATTTGATTGAAGTGGTTGCAATGGTGAAGGATGTAACATCAATAATAGGTGGGCAAGAAGGCCTTTAAATACATAAGATAATTTACAAAGTGAATCGAGCAAACATAGCAAAAACAGCAAACCAATTAATTTGTTACCAAAGAAATGTATCCTCTCTTCTCTCCATCTACTCCTTATTTTTGTTTGTCCCATTCTATTTCAAATCGTCTCAGTCATACTTCTGCAGTGCTTATATTGAGTTCTGTTCTGCCTCTCTCCTGTTGTCTTTTCACCTTTTTACTCTTATCTTACAGTATATTTGTATAGATCTTCTTCTCCATTATTAATAGTTTAATTTATTAAACAAAAAATAAATGGTTCAGCATTGTAATCATTGTTGTGAATTACTTAAAATTGATGAATGATTCACTTCTCAAATTTTATTTTATAAAGAGAGAGTACAAACACATAGTTTTCTCTGTACATTTTATTGATAACTGCTTGTGATATTTGCAAAAAAAAAGGTTTAAAAATTGATATCAAAACCAAATGCATTGAAATCGTTTTAAAGTTTACTTGTATTTTTAAAATATATTTGTTACTCTAACTGTATAACCAACATGGACTGCTCAGAATCATACCAGGGACATGTTTCAATGTTTCAATGACAAATGACAAAAATCAGTGAAAAATCTGCTGATAACCAATCAGAAGCAAGGATTTCACTAGCTTATAACAAAAACTGTAATTTGTCACTGATGACAAGTCTGATTAAAAGTTTACATGTAAATACTCAACCTTACATCCAGGTTCTGAGAATATTATCATCAATAGCACCTTATCCTTCAAATTACTTCTGAGAATAGGAGAGATTATCATGAAAAGAATTGTTAGTTGCCCAAAGAGATTTAAAGCCTGTCTGGACTAGTTTGGCCAGGGGGATTAGACCTCCCTGCAAAGTCACTGACAGGTGGTTATCTCATCAAATCAGCTCTCAATTAAAATAAGAAAAAGGGGATCATGGGGGACCAACAGGCACCAATTAGGCAATGTTGTCTATATAGAGAGCGCAAGTTGCTATAAGTAGTGCAGTGGGGATTTAAAAGAAATCAAGAATTTTCCTTTGAATTAAAAGCTGCACAGTTGCATCATGAATCTATCTCTATCTCATACCAATCATCAATTATGGGCAATACATGGATAATTTGACAGCACTATTTGTAGAACTTTATCATTCCTTCATTGATATGATGTGCGAAGCACGACGACTTGTCAATATTTGAAACAACGTATTTGAATTCACACTTATGTTAGCGTGCCCAGATTTACACTGGTGCAATTGATTGACATCATACATGTACATGTACATGCACAGATGTAATTGACAATTTTGTTCATAACATTATTTTCTTACTCCATTTTTAAATGTTGTTTTCCAATAGATTTCTAAAATGTAGATGGAATACAAATTCTCAATCTCTCACATGTAAAGGAAAATAAGCTTTATTTAGAACATTTTATTTATGAAACAATGCTTCCCTTTTTAAGGATGGTGGCAGGTTTTTTCCATAAACTTATTTTCTTACTCCATTAAATGTTATTTTCCAATAGATTTATAAAATTTAGATGGCAATTCTTTTTCTCTTTTTTTCATATACATGTATGTATAGAAAAAAATGTTTTCTACCAAATTCAATTTTCTAAAATCTAAAACGATGCTTCCTCTTTTTTCAGGATGGTGGCTGGCTTTGTGTTAGACCTGTATCAGCGGTTCCGTGACCTGTACTTCACATACCTGGAGATCAACCCACTGGGTGAGTGTTAATAGATCAAAAAGCCAGGAATCTCTGCCTAACACTTGTCTTACAATGTGGCTTCTCAACTTTGAACTTATGATCTCTTGTCCTACTTTCTTTGTTCATAGAGAATAGTACATATCTCTGTACAGCTTCTCGCCCAGTCATGATCTTATAGAGTTGAATTTGGTCAGTAGTAACATACTAAAGTCTCATTGCATTTTTATCTTCTCTCTTCCCCTATCCAGTTGTGACTGATAAGGTCTATGTACTAAATATTTCATTCCATTCAATGTTTTCTATCTTCTTTCTTCTCCTATCTAATCGTCACTGATAAGGTCTATGTATCAAGAGTTTCATTCCACTCTTTGTTTTTCTATCTGGTTTCTTCCCCTATCTAGTTGAGATTGATAAGATCTACATTGTATTTACTAAATATTTATTTCCACTCATTGATTACACTTCTTTCTTCCCTTATCTAGTTGTGACTGACAAGGTCTATGTATTAGATCTTGCTGCTAAGATTGATGCTACTGCCGAGTACCTGTGCAAGGTTCAATGGGGAGACCTGGAATTCCCTCCTCCTTTCGGTCGGGAAGCTTTCCCTGAGGTGAGAAATCAATTTCTGTTTGTGAAAGAAAGGCAGTTTATCTTGTCGTAAATCATATTTGTAATTAGTATTTATTGTCCATTTCTGGATATTTGATTTTCGCTGGTGTAACATATACAGATTAACATTTACTAGTGAATTTACACAAATTCTAGACATTAACAGTAAATGAACAAGGTTTAACATATGATTAAGCACAATTAACAGAAGGTCTAATGTTCTGTAATAAACACAAAATCAGGACAATAGTTAGCACAGTAATTAAAGCAAAGCAAGAGCAGGTGTCGGTGATCAAACGAATGTCCATATGATGGACATGAAGACATTTGAATTTTCATATGCACTTTAATAGCATGATGCGTTGAGATGTCTACGTATTAGTGAAGTAAATGGAGTTATAGTTAATGCCCATCTTCTTTTTTTTTAAAACATGGAAGCAGGTATCTTCTTTCCTGGCAGCTCTTGTGAAAAGAATTGCTGTGAATAATTCCAAAGACACTGATGACAGTGGCAAGCTGAAATTTATAAACAAAGACTGAGTTGCCTGCTGCAATGTGAATTGGTTTGTTATTTTTTCTAACTTGGTTTCCACAAATGCTGTATGAATCTGTTGATTTCTTTTTTTATCTTCAATTTGACATTCCTAATCCCTTTTTTCTGTGTTTATGTAGGAAGCATATATTGCAGACCTTGATGCTAAGAGTGGTGCATCCCTGAAGCTCACCATCTTGAATCCAGTCGGTCGTATCTGGACGATGGTGGCAGGGGGAGGTGCTTCAGTCATCTACAGGTTGGTTGGTTTGAATCTGTTTATACCGGTTGAATCTGGTTTTGACCAGTGCACAACATGAATATGACATCTTGTTTTCAGCAAAATTTCCTAATGAAATCACAGCATCCGGTGGAATAAAAATAATAATAATATTTGGTTCTTGTATAGCACATATCACATTATAACGTCTCTGTGCGCTTCCAAAGAGCTTTGGAAATCATTACCGCGGCTTTAGCATGTCTGCCATTATGGCGCTCTAGCATTTCAAGGATTTGATATGGAACCAAAAGAATCATCTTATTACTCGAGTAAAATTATTGGTATTTGTCAAACTAACCTTCCTGTTTATTGGTATACATTTTTACATTCATTATTGGTTAATCCATGACACTTCAAAGAAACATTTTCCTTTTTTTATAGAAAATACTCTCAAGCTTCCAATTATCTTCAAACACTTATTGGGCTTTGCAAGAAAGTTGCAGTCAATTGCAAATCCCCAAAATCAAGCATAAGTCTTGTGATCAATTGCAAATATCAGTTGCACACTTTGCAACTTTCTTGCAATGCCCCATTAGTATCTTTACTTTCAATGCTGTTTGTTTCTCAAACCCCCATGCTAGCAGCCACTTTACCATTTGGTATATCTCTCTCCATCTAGTGACACCATATGTGACCTTGGTGGAGCAGCAGAGCTAGCAAACTACGGTGAGTACTCTGGCGCCCCCAGTGAGGGTCAGACGTACGAGTACGCCAAGACGATCCTCGGTCTGATGACCAGAGAGCAGCACCCTGACGGCAAGGTGCTCATCATCGGAGGAGGGATTGCTAACTTCACTAATGTCGCATCTACATTCAAGGTGAGTTCTCCCTAGTACAGTCAAACCTGTCTATTAAAGACACTCAGTACTTAGCTCTCATAGGGAATTCAACACCGTTTGGGTGTTCACCCAATAAGAGGTGCTGTCAATCACCAGGATTAGCCTTCAGTTTCATGATCAGCAGGTCTTTTGTAACGTACTGCGTTTTTCACCCATTCCCCCACATGGTAAAGTCATTATCTCACTTTTCTGTCAGCGAATTATTGCCTTCTGCACATGGAAACTGACGAAGGACTCCCTTTAAAGCCCTACTGCACTGCTTATAGCTACTTGCGCCCTCTATATAGCAAACAATGCCTAAGCGGTACCTGTTGGTCCCCCATGATTCTCTTTTTCTTGTGTTTATTGAGAGCTGATTTGATGAGATAATCACCTGTCAGTGACCTTGCAAGGAGGTCTAATCCCCCTGGCCAAACTAGTACAGACGGGCTTTGAGGCCACTTGAGGGATACAGAAAAAGTGTCCATTGTAGACAGGTGGCCTTTCTAGACAGGTTCTACCACACATTTCTTTCTTGATGGAGACAAAATATATGGCCACTAAAGAGAGGTGGCCACTAAGACAGATTTGACTATATTATTATTCCTTAATTAGGCCCTCAGTCCAAGTTCAATTCTCTTCGCCGATGTGGCAAACATCTACATTCACAGTTCCAAGCTCCTGTTAAGTTGTATGCGTCTTAAAGGGATCCGGTAACTTTGTCTCAGATTCTGAAACAAAATTCTGGATTTGGCTCATGCTGCAATGATAATTATATACCTTTAGGTCAGTCAGGAACTCTTTTTACAAGCCGATCGCCTGTCTGATTATCAAGATATTTATGATTGGAATTACAAAATTTGAAAACCGTTTACCAAACGGTTTTCATAACACTACAGTCTTTTGGGGAATAGAGTATGGTAAAACCGGTCACTCAAAGATTTTTACTTTTTTGAGGCACTTCTTAATCATTTTGAAACGCGAATTGTTATTAGGGCTTCAATATTACACCATATCACAGACACTGATAACACGTTGGGCCGTGTATCTCAGATTTAACATTGTTAAACGATCCCTTTAATGTGTACAGCTCATCTACATGTAAAGATCTTCACATGTTGTGACGCTCCTGGCGCTGCCAGATTATTACCCTGGCTTTAGCAAGGCGGCCATTTCAGCGCTCTAGCATTTCAAGGAATCGATTCCTGCCAGTTGATCGTAGTCTTTGTGAAACTTTCCCCTGGTGTAAATTGATTTGATGTGATTCATGAATGTATATCTTGTTGATTGATTCCTTAGGGCATTGTGAAAGCTCTAAAGCAGTTCCGTGAGAAGCTGATTGAGTTCAGGGTGTCTATCTATGTGAGACGAGGAGGTCCTAACTACCAAGAGGGTCTACGAGTCATGAGAGAGCTGGGTAAGATATGATATACCGGTAGTCACCTTACAGATCATACAATCTGGGCCTATAAGGGAGTTTACAGATAGCATATGGTACAAATGACCCCAAATATCCACAGATCTTTTACACGTGGAGAAGTTCCACTTTGAGCATCTTAGAATAATAACTGCCAAAGTCCTAGATGTGCTTCATGAATACCTTTTGTTTGACCTCTTGAAAAGAATATTTCCACCTGCGTATCATACATAAATTAATAATGTTACATAACTTTCATGAGCGCATATCCAGCATTCATCTCTGTGGGTTTTACCATTTTGGTACAAATGACCTTTATCTGCCCATGCACAGATTGTATCTGTAAACTCCCTTATTGCATAAAACTTACCATTGATGGTAACTTTGTCATCAATGGCAACTACCATGGTAACAGGGCTCAACAGCCAATCAAAATCAAGGTTTCCATGGTAGTTACCATTGATGGCAAAGTTACCCTTAATGGTAAGTTTTGTGCAATGGGCCCTGAAGCAGAATCAATCTAAAGTGGTATGGAAAGCAAGGAAACAGTTAACCAGTGAAGTATTCTTCAAAGAAATACGGCTTCCAAGTTTGTTATTTACTATTTGATTTCAAATTAAAGTGGAATACTTTTTAATTTAAGATATTTATTTGAATTCATCCATTTATATCGTCTTTGCTTGTGTGATTTAGCAAATGTTAAGTAATAAACATAAATGGATGGATTGTCCTTCTCTAGGTCGCAGCCAGTCTGGATGTCGCTCTTTGAAAGAAAGAAACATCTGAATTTTCTACTTCATAAGATTCAAAATTTATTGTGTTCTTTTGTCACAAGATGGAGACTCACATGACAACCATTTCGTAGTATGACTCGAGGAAGGCGGGAGGAAGGCTCTGAACCCCCCCCCCCCCCTCTCTACCAGATCCATGGTGTAAATCTAGTTTTAAATCTATATTGTGTTTCTTGTCACAGGTGGAAACCTTGGTGTTCCTATGTATGTGTTTGGTACTGAGACTCACATGACAGCCATTGTAGGCATGGCTCTAGGAAAGAGGGAAGTCCCTGAAACACCTCCTACAGACTCCACCACAGCCAGCTTCCTCCTCTCCGGAAGTGCGGTAAGAAGATATTTTATCAAGTTTTATTCTGTAGGAGGATTAATGAATTGTAGAAATCAGGGCCCTAACTGACAGCATATCAAAGTCTGTGAGATATCAACTGCTGAACCTTGGGTACATACAAAAATCTTTGATTCAACAAGCATGTGAACAATTAATCCATGCATTAATCTCATCCCGCTTAGATTATTGTAATTCTATTCTATTTGGACTCACGAAACAGCAGCAAGACGGACTGCAATCCCTCCAAAATTCCAGTGCAAGATTCCTTACTTTCACACCAAGAATGTCCCCTCTTCATGCTCTATAAGTTTGCACTATTATTATCATTATTACGCAGGTGCCATTAATCCCTTTAAATCCTTTCTAGGTATCCTAAATTTGTTGCCAATTTCCCCACCTGTAATTAAAGACCATATAGATACTGAGAGTTTTGACTTGATGAAGTTTTAAGCACGGCTTTAATCTGTGGCAAAGTCCAATTCTTTATAAAGTTTCTAAAAACTTTCTCGATGATTAGAAGTGGGTGAAGTTTTTCAAGCAAGTTCCAGTACTTTAGAGTAATACTGGCTTATATGCTCTAACATGCACTTGCTATTTGCAGCCTTATGGTTTTATGATATTTCTGGTTGTTAGACATTAGTACCTTATTTCAATAAAGCTTAGTACATATTTAACTAGATATGGATAGGTATTAAGTTTTGCTGTAACAAGGTTGCATTAGATTATTTTAGAATTTTGTTTTTAATTCATTTTTAAGGATAGATGCCCTATTCTCATGCATGAATATAAAACATAATTTTTGTAATTTATCCAGATGCTTGGATTATGCATTAACATCTTCAAGATTCATTACTTTAACAGCTTTTTCATGAGGCTAAGCTTATTATTTTCATTCAAAAAATTGAGTGATATAGTGCAGATGATTAAATAGATGTGGTTTTAAACATTTAATGATTACAAAAATTATGTCTACACAATCAAGTTAAATTTGTAGCTCATGAGCTTGGCATATCATGTGTAAAAAGAAAAGAAAAGAATTAAAAGCTCTATTAAAGTTAAATCACTAAAGTGTCATTAAAAATAAAATTTACCATGCATCATGTGTCAAAAGAACATCATGTAATGCCCATATTAAGGTTAATTAATTCATGGCCTGAATAGAGAGTTTACATTGTGTAGCGTTCATTCCTAAAGCATCCATTTCTTGGATCACAATGACAATGTTTGTGTAAACATATCATTAGGCTGATCAGTTTGGGCAAATCCAAACTGATTAAAAAAAGAAAACTGCTGCAATACTGTGTAGAAATGATAAACCCCCATTGATCTCCTATTCAAACTACAGGTTTTTCCAGAGGTGAGACAAAGTGTTATACTGTATATGATATTGAATAATCTTTGATCAGAAATACTGGGGTATATCGCACAATTTGATGCACACCACATGAGATGTAGAGGAGTGCAATATTGTCAAAGCGAACCTGATATACCCTTGGATCACACTAAGGACAAGCACTCAATATATCTATTCATTATTTACAATACATATGATACATATGAATTCATCAATTTTTCATGATTATATTCAAACATTTTGTACATTTAAACACTATTTAAATATTTCTGGTAACTTTCACATAAATTAAATAAAAAAAGGAGTATTCAAGAGGGCATAATGGATTTTTCACTGTCTTACATAACAATTACATCAATTGAATATGCATTGTTTGAGCCACAACATACTCCTGTGTACTTCATACTCATCTGAATATATTTGTTGGATCACAAAATATTTTTGTGATGCTGATGGTTTTAATTGAACACTACAGAGCGATACAATTCACTTCACAAAGATTGAAAATGATCCGTCAGTAAAATATCTTGCCTCGTTTGATATTGACCTCTGTAAGTCCCATCTTCTCTTCAACAGTTTTTACCCAAACCAGCAGAAACCCAGGGTGTAAGTAGATAGAAACACACATAGCTAGCTAGCACTGTGGTATACAGATCTCTAAACACTTTATATTCCTCTCTCTCTCTCTCTCTCTGAATTCTCAATTAACTCCTGGTATTACACATGTAGGCTATAGGCTATTGAAAGGCTCTTCTTTTTTTCCTAAATTTGTGTACACGCCCTCTGTCTTTCTGATTCTGATAACTCTGCTTCCTATCTTTCAGTAATATCTACTTGGCAAAACTTTTGAAATTAACAATTAACTTTTCCAATTTGTCATACGTTGTGGCAATTATGTGTCTGAAGTGCTAAACTTATTACTCTGATTAATCAATAAACCTAAGAAGTTTTCTTTGCTCCCAGCTACTTTTATTAGAAAAGGAATCCAGTATCAAATAGCATAATTACATTTGTCATTTTCAGTCGTCGTGTGCTGTAATTCCAGAAATGTTAATGACATGAAACATTCACCAGACGATGCATAAAAGTTGGTGTTTTATTTGTCAATTGGTTTTATTTATTTCGCGGCATGACATTTTGCGTGCTTGAAATTTCTATAAAATTTGCCACTATATCATGCACATGAATTTTCTAGTTTATCAGTATACGCCATTGCATGAGGTCTACTTCATGTACACAGTTATACACTGTAGGTCATCACATTGACTGTACATGTATCTTCACATGTTTCTCCATTTTAATCTTGAAAAAGCATATAAAACATTTATCTTTATGTAATTCACCAATTCCTGTTTATTCAATATATGTTATACTTTAGATATGAAATTTGTGAGTCACATAATTTGTTTAAAGACCACTGGTGTAAATATTCTAGGTCATTATATTGTACTGTAGATTTTCACATGCCTTATGATAACTAAACATTGCACTATTGAGTATATTGTATTTTCATCTTAGAAAAGTGACCTAGTATGACTCTTTTTATATTCCTATGTTATTCACCAACTTTTCTTTTATGTAGTATACCTTAGACATCAATTCATCTGTACTTTGTAAAGCAGATTATTATTATTTTAAAGAGTACAAGTTGTTTTGAATGTCTATGAAACAGTTTTAAGGATTATACACAGGAAACATACCTGTAATGTTTCAAAACTTGCATCCATCTGTTTTAGAATACCAGTAGTGCTTAGTTTATTACATCAGTCCTCAGTTAGTTGACCTATCTACACGTATTTCTGAATTCATCCAGTAGTATAGCTCTTTTATTGTAGCTTCAAAGTATATTAAGTATGATATTAATGGAATAAAATCATGCAAGTAGAGATGCATTCGATTTAATAGTACAACATGTTAGCAAATTATTGTATAGAGTTCATAGTAATTTGTTCACCAACTTATATAGAAAGGACATGTGTATTGAGAACTATGAATACTACTTGTGAAAGTAAAGAAACTATATTTTTAGTGATGTATAAAACAAGGTATGCACCAACCACACATGGACCTGTACGTGCACCTGTACATGTCTGCGCCTGTGACCTGACATGAAGAAGGTCATAGTATGAAGCCAGAAAGAAAAAAGAAAAGAAAAACAGATACATTGAGAAAAGTGAGAAATGTACCAGTCCTTGTTTTTTACTGAATGTAATCATCGAAGCAGTAGGAAATTGACTATTCAAGCTCTCGGGTAAGAGTTTTAATTGAGTTCAATCCATGCTCTGTGCGTACACCATCACACATTTGTCTCTTTTCACCCAGGTGTATCACATGGGTACCTGGCAATGCTGGGGTAATAATGAGTTCTGCACCCGCATGAAGAACACTTCTTGGTTAATAAGACCAAATATTTATGAGTACTTTATGTTGTTCACTAAATAAGTTTGTAGAATTATTGATTTTTTGAATGACAGGTTCCTCCTGGGGCAAGCAAGAGTGCTCCAGAGCTTGGAGCTACCGCCAAAGTCAGTATTTTACTCCTTCTAGAGAATGAAAGCATTTTGATATCCACTCCTGCACACCTACTCCAGCTTACAGGCAGAATGAGCCCCCCCCCCCCCTCTCGCTCTCTCTCTCTCTCTCTCTTTAAAGAATTCATTTGATGTCACTTCTCACTCCCCCTCTAATTGTGAATGTAATATGGTTCCATGGATAAAGTTATACATAATCTTTGGAGCAAAAGTTCAAGCTTGAGACAAAGTTGGTATGCAAATACATTTGGGTGATCCTAGTCCAATGGATAGGTTGAAAAACCATAGGTCCCCTGGAGCTTACTTCAAGCATATGCCTCTACTTCCTTTGCACGCAGGAATTTTAATTTGTCAGACGTTTATCTGTGAAAATGAGGGGTTGAAGAAGGGAACGGGAGAGGACTCATTCTGTCTAGTCTTCCGTTTCAAGTTGTTGAATTGCTTTTATATTCCTTGTTTTGAACTTGTTGCATTTTGTTTTTCATGTAGAGTTATTTGAAAACGTAAATTGTATAGGCGTAGATATTTATTTTACATCACTTTAGCTGTTTCATTATTTTGTTATCACATTCAGTTCCCACTTGTTACTTGTTTAATAGATGATGTATTCTGACCCAATGCTGTTACATCAATGTTCTTGATGTACTGTATTCCTAATGCACTGCTTTTGCCTCCCACCAGAAAAAAACTTACCGGGTATTTCAAATATGAAACTGTCTAGAAGTGTCTTTTTTCTATAGCATCTCCTCTCCAAAGCGAGAGCTATAAATTATAAAATCCCAACAAAAACTAATTTGCTAAAGAAAGATGCAAAGAAAAAGAAAAGATCCCATCCTGTGAATGTCAACGCTAAAATGGAAAATCAGAAATTCTAATTTTTAATGAAATCAATTAGAGGGAAATGGAAATCTTATGTCTTTTGGCTCAATAGTACTTCCTTAAAACATACTCATATATAAGTATTCAATTCTGATAAATTCTTGGGGTTAATGGTTTATTTCATCATCTTTAAGGAGGTTTATCTTTACTATTCTAATACAACTTTTGAAGTTGACATATCCTGGGAAAATTTTGATTCTGGTTTACCCACAAAATATTTGATACAAAAGATATATAACGGCCTGTGTCACACTCTCTCTCTCTCTCTCTCTCTCTCTCTCTCTCTCTCTCTCTCTCTCTCTCCTAGCTTTGCTCTTTGCCTCAATTTATTTATCGGTAGTTTCAGAATTGTTTATTTGCTCTTTGTTTTCAGTACTATTTCTCATAAGAATTAATTTCATTCAAACCATTGCTGTGTACCTGTAATTGAATTTGTACAATCTCTGTATTACTTTGTTTTTTGTAGAAATGTTCTGTTCTTTTTATTTTTTTTAATTTTTCTTCTATTATCAGTGGATGAACGTTTGTGCAACTTCCAGCATATTGTGTTAAATGTGCTTGAGACATACTGTAACAAGATGCATAAGTTTAATGCCTGCTTATAAGAGAGTTTCATTATTTTAAACTGGTTGCTTGTAAGGAAAAGTACTAAAGTAGGCTTTTGTGTGAATTCTACATGCATTTTTTTTTTTTAAAGAAAAAAATAGATATATTATTTGTTTCAAATTCTCTGGAATTTGATGATTGTTCATATCTCTGTAAGATATGTAGTATGCTTTTCTATAACATAATTGTCTTTCTGTCACTTTGTTTATGCCCGTTTAACTTTTAACTCACCTTTTTGTGTATTTTGTATTTAACACTTTTCGTGTTCCAATACTATTTACTCTTGCCTTTTTGCATTATTTACTTGCCATTTGCTTGATTTATTTTACTCTAACATTTTGATCTTTGTTCTTTTTTCTATTACTATTCGCATGATACATACATACATACATACATATATATATATATATATATATATATATATATATATATATATATATAAAAACAATTAGCATCTGTTTGCATATTTAACTTTGCTTGATTGTTTTTATGATGTGAATTATGTGCAATATTTCGCAAAATCATTTTAATTAGTATGGTAACCAGTATGCTATGTGAACTGTTAATCATAGTTGATCATATTATATTGTTGTTTCCTTCAAAATTGTCATGAATTTAGTTAATGTTGGAAATAGATCTTTCTATGATGTGTTTGTAGCAACCAAAATGTATATCCTTTAAAATACATAAACAAGCAATTTTTGAAATTTTCCTGTTAATGTTTCAGAAAGTTCAAAATTCTGTACAGATATAATTCTATACTTTGTTATGGTTTCAACTACATGTAGTATAAAGATTAATGATGAAAAAAGACAAGGAAAGTTTGTCACATTAATATTGAACTGGAAGTCCGCAAAAGGAAATTTCTACGGCCCTCAGGGAGAAACAGTACTGATTACTGATGAGGCTAAATTTGCTAAACAAGACAACATTTATTATCATTATTCAGTCAAACCTGCTTTAGTGACCACCGGTCTCCAAAGGCCACTTTTTGTTTTCCTTTGAAAATGGTTTCTCATTGAACATGTACAGCAGGCACCTATCTACAAAGAGCACCTGCCTCTAAAGACCACTTTTCTTGTCTCCCTTGGGTGGTCTTTACAGACAGGTTTCACTGTATAATGACTGATTGGTGTCATATTGTCTTTCTGTCTTGTAGGCATCACCAGTAGTTGCTCGTAAAGAGAAGTCTGCCTCTGATACTGATGGTGTCAAGGTCACTAGACCCCTCGCAGGAGTAAGTGGAGCGGGAGCTGCGTCTGGCTTCAGGACACTTTTCACTAACACCACCAAGGTAAGAACTCTCTTCCTACAGAGAGAACTGTTGACAAATGGTCTTTTCTTCAGCCATGTCTTATATGCTGTGGTTAGTAAAAATAGCTGCTGGGGCACAATAATAAGCATATTTCGCTTCACTTTCTTTATCTTATGACACACATATAAGTGAGTATGTGTGAGATCTTTGTTGCACACATATATTTTTGTTTATAATAATCCGTCTTGGTATAGCGCATAACACGTTATGATAAAGATAAAGTTGGCTAAAGAGTGCACAGTGCATATAAAGGAATAATCCTACTGTGCTGGGGTATTATCATTTGCCAATCTTCATCAAAGGCTACATTCACTCTGAAGTTCTTTGAATTCTTGCATGCTTTTATTAGCTATGGTTGTGGTAGTAGTAGCATTCACAAACAGGCACTTCTTTTATCCAATTCTTGTAATTGATCATTAATATTAATATTCCTATCTTTTTATCCCTTTAGTCGTTCATCTTTGGAATGCAGCCTAGAGCTGTTCAGGGTATGTTGGACTTTGATCACTCCTGCAGACGAGATGAACCCTCCGTTGTTGGTATGATCTATCCATTCAGGTGAGCTTGCATGGTGATGTAGATATACATCTCCCCCCCCCCCCCCCCCCCCCTCTGTCACAAGCCTACTGTATAACATTCATATGATTTTAGGTGTCGGGTGTTAGGTGTTAAATAGGTCAATGATTATAGAGTTGGGTGAGGGGGGGGGGGGGGTAAACCCTGGTGTAGTGGTACACCTGCACACCCCTAATCAGTCATACCAGGAGGAGAAACCATATGGTCACAATGATTAAGTTCTTTTTCCCCCTCCCAGGCACAGGTCATGCCAAATAATTATTTTATAATGATTATAATATGTTTAATGGTCTTTGCATATTTAAACATTTAACCATTGATTTCTTTTGAAGAATTGCTTTACAGAATGCCTGACACTCGTTGCCTGTTATCATTTCTTTTTTCTTTTTTTGTTCTTTAGTGGTGACCACAAGCAGAAGTTTTACTGGGGTCACAAAGAGATCTTGATCCCAGTCTACAAGTCCATGGCTAAAGCTATGAAGACACACCCTGATGTAGATGTCGTCATCAACTTTGCTTCTCTCAGATCAGCTTACGATAGCACTGTAGAGGTCTTGACATATCCTCAGGTCAGTCTCTTCTCTCTTTTTTGTTCTTACTCTCTTTACTGCTACACTCATATTTTGGGGGTATCCTAGTGGTAGTTGTAGATGTGGTAGTAGGAGTAATAGTGGTAGTGTGTAGTGGTGGAGGAAGCGAGTTGGCTCAGTCGGTAAAGCGTTTGCCTGTCGAACCAAAGATCTCGGGTTCGAATCCCACTCAGGCGGATGACTGAAGCCCATAGACGTAGACTGTGGTAATTGGAAAACACTCGGTCCCTAGGATAGGACGTTAAATAGAGGCCCTGTTCACAGGAGAGTCACCACCCTTGCACGCTAAGAACCCATTACACTATTTGTATAAGAGTAGGAGGGAACCCCGATGTAGTGGTCCACCTGTACCCCCAGTAACCTTTATATCCTGACTTATGGATCCTGTCAAGTATCTACATAGAAGTAGAAGTGGTTGTAGTAGTAGCAGTAGCAAGAGCAGTATTAGAAGCAGTAGAAGTAGTAGTAGTAGTAGAAGTAGTAATAATAATAATAGTACATTTATAGAGCGCAGAAACTAGCAGTAGTAGTAGTAGTAATAGTAATAGTAACAGTAGTTAGACTCGTACCGCAGACTATGTGATGCACAGTTGGTGACAAGTAATGTGTCTTTTTATCCCATCATGTATAGATTAAAACCATCGCTATCATTGCTGAGGGTATCCCTGAGAACAAGACTCGTATCCTCATAGACATGGCCAACAAGAAGAGCGTCACTATCATCGGACCTGCAACGGTAAGATCAACACCTTCTCTCTTATTCAGATTGATTGATTGATGGATTCAAATTTATTCCATTTCATTTCAATTGTTGCACAATAAAGAACATAGTTGACAAATTAACTTCAAAATTATGAAATGAAACGGGAACCTACCGGAAAGCATGTCTTGTTTTTGTAGGTTCCCAAGAATAAATATATTATGAACATTATTTTCATAAATCATTTTAAAGTGTCTTAATAGTCACAGTAAAATAGATATAATATGATAACATATTTCATAAACCATTTTAAAGTGTCTAAATAATCAAAATATATGAACAAACAGAATGACAGATACTAGGGAGTCCTCTTTAATTTAGTGCAATCACCCCCAAGAAGGATGGGGAATGTTGCCATGGTTTGGAGAGATATCAACTCAGTCTTGAAAGAGGAACAGTATGTTGATTATCAAATATACCAGAAAGTATATGACCTGATGTGAGATAATGTCTACCGAAAGGTTTAAATAACTTTATATCTTACTTTCTTATCTTTTGTCTACAAGCTTATATGCATTACTGTTTTGTGATTATCGTATGTTGGTGGTATCAACCCCGGTTGCTTCTATTTCGGTAACACCTGTGGAATGTTGGATAACGTTCTCTCACCCAACCTTTACCGTCCAGGCGGTGTTGCTTTCATCTAATAGTTGTACCTCGTCTCTGTGTCTTTGGGTCCTATCTTCAGTCTATTTGTACTAACATGTTGATACGTCTTTCTACTATCCTAGGTCGGAGGTATCAAGCCTGGTTGCTTCAAGATCGGTAACACCGGTGGAATGTTGGATAACATCCTCTCCTCCAAGCTCTACCGTCCAGGCATTGTGTCCAAGCTTACTTCTTTCTAATAAGTGTACCTTGTGTCTTTAGGTCTTTAGGTCCCATCTTTGATCTATCAGGTTTAACATAATGATAAATCTTTGTCTATCGTAGGTCGGAGGTATCAAGCCTGGTTGCTTCAAGATCTTTAACACCGGTGGAATGTTAGATAACATCCTCTCCTCCAAGCTCTACCGTCCAGGCAGTGTTGCTTTCATCTAATAGTTGTACCTCGTCTCTGTGTCTTTGGGTCCTATCTTCAGTCTATTTGTACTAACATGTTGATACGTCTTTCTACTATCCTAGGTCGGAGGTATCAAGCCTGGTTGCTTCAAGATCGGTAACACCGGTGGAATGTTGGATAACATCCTCTCCTCCAAGCTCTACCGTCCAGGCAGTGTGTCTAAGCTTACTTCTTTCTAATAAGTGTACCTTGTGTCTTTAGGTCTTTAGGTCCCATCTTTGATCTATCAGGTTTAACATAATGATAAATCTTTGTCTATCGTAGGTCGGAGGTATCAAGCCTGGTTGCTTCAAGATCATTAATACCGGTGGAATGTTAGATAACATCCTCTCCTCCAAGCTCTACCGTCCAGGCAGTGTTGCTTTCATCTAATAGTTGTACCTCGTCTCTGTGTCTTTGGGTCCTATCTTCAGTCTATTTGTATTAACATGTTGATACGTCTTTCTACTATCCTAGGTTGGAGGTATCAAGCCTGGTTGCTTCAAGATCGGTAACACCGGTGGAATGTTGGATAACATCCTCTCTTCCAAGCTCTACCGTCCAGGCAGTGTGTCCTACGTCTCTAGATCAGGAGGAATGTCCAATGAGCTCAACAACATCATCTCCAGGAATGCTGATGGTGTCTATGAAGGTGTCGCCATAGGAGGAGACAGGTATGGAAACATCTCAATATATTGATCTTCTACGCAGTATGATATTTTATTTGCTGTTGAATGCAACTCACAAATTATATAAATCAGGTTTTAAACAAATCCACTTATCTTTACCTTTTGTTAAAGAATGAAAATCACAACCTCAACACATTGTTAATCTATGTTAATTACACTTTGTAATTTATGCAATTCCTTTTGAAAAACACATCAAATTAATTTTGGTGTGTAGAGAAACAATAATTAAAAACAATTTGTCAAACATTATTCAAAAAGTATAGAAATAAGAGATACGTGTTACAGTAGGTATTCAAAAATGCCATGAAAAATATTTTTTATTGAAATGACTTTATGAATGAGTTGGTCAACTTGCTTTCCTCATGTTAGAATCTATTACTTGATTATGACTTTATTTCCTTTAAGAGACCAATATTTGACTTTCCCCATTAACTTGTGTACTCCAGATACCCAGGAACAACCTTCCTTGATCACATCCTCCGTTACCATGACGATCCAGAGGTTAAGATGCTGGTCATGCTGGGAGAGGTAAGTTACCTTCTAGAATTTATTCCTGTGAAATAAATTTACTTCGTGTTTATGTTCTGAACTGGAAAGATTTTTTTTTTAAATAGGAATAAACAGAAGGGTAGGTTTTGACCTTGATGCAAGGCCCTTATGCACAATTAAAAATATGAAAAATTAAATCAGGAGGGGTTTTAACAAAGTTGATTTTGTGCAAGTTTCCCCCAAATTGTCAAATATCTGAAAAATGTTATTCTCCCAGGGTGGAATATTTTTATATATATTCAAAAAGAAAAATTTTAATTTGTTCTAAAACTCTCCAATATTATAATACATTCCTTCCCATGTCAATACACCATGTTAGATTATTCATGTATTTCTTTATACTCTCTAGGTTGGTGGTACTGAGGAGTATGAAGTATGTTCAGCTATTGAGTCAGGACGCATCACAAAGCCCATGGTGGCATGGTGTATCGGTACATGCTCAACCATGTTCACTTCAGAGGTAAGTGGCTCATTTTGAGATTATTACAATGGTGAATCCACTCTGTGTGCATGTTCACTTGAATTGTGATGTTCAGAACTTTTATGAAAGACAGTTTAATAGATCCTAACAAGAAGTTGTTAAAGATAAGCTTGAGTTCTTGTAATGATAGAAAATTAATTCTCACAGAATCCAACAAAATTTACATTGAATGTTCAAGATTACGAACTAATGACATGTCATGTGCCGAACAATTCTGGTAAAAAATGGATAAGGGGCTGGGTAATGAGCATAGAAAGATAAGGAAATCAAGGTAAGAAGCCCGACACCATGTGCTTAACACAGGTCACTATGTGCAAATGAGAGTTGTGGTTTTTATTGAAGATGATTACCAGCAAGTTTCAATCAATCTAATGCAGGATAAACGATTCAGAATGAATCATAGCCATATTCTCTTGACCTACGATTCCCTTACTAGAGCTCAAGATTAGCTTTAAGTTTGTATTATTGGTGAAATATGATATGATCGTATTGAAGGAGGTTGTTTGAAATAGCACAATGCCGGCAGAATAATCATATGTAATGCATACAGATTAGACTCTTGCATTCATAATCGGGTGCTTCAACTTATGGCTTATTGAATATATATGTCAAGATGTATTATACAATCATATGAAATACAGTAACAGGTAGTCTTTTTTTCTAGATAATGACTAAAGCAAGTTTCTTTCTATTTGTTTTGAATCCGATACAGGTTCAGTTTGGCCATGCAGGAGCCTGTGCTAATGGTGAGAGGGAGACGTCCAGCGCTAAGAACCAAGCTCTCAGGGTCGCTGGAGCGTATGTACCAGGCAGCTTTGATGACCTAGGAGATAAGATTGCGTAAGGACAGTATTTGTATAAAATGTTACAATCAAGGAGAAAATGTAATAAATATGATGCAGAAGATGAAGAGAAATAGAGAAGAAGAGCTTATTGGTTTGCTGCCCTGTGGGTAGAGCAGGAACAATGTACTGTACAAAACATCCCGTAAAGATAATTATGATAATAAATTATAGTAATATTGTTATATTATTAAAGATAGTAACCCTTCCACTGGCACAACTCCAGTTTAAATACCTTCTTGGCATCTTCTAGAGGAAAGCAGTCAAACACCAAGTATTGTATTCATAAATGTCTATTAAGTGTTTTCCTTGAGAGTTTAATAACTACCTTGTCAGAAGAAAATCATTTGAATGCATTGGTAAATGCCAGTGTCAGAAGACAGTGTGTCTATTCTTTTCAGTATTTTCAGTGGTCCTGGTGTATCATTATGCATGCTTTATTATTTCCTTATCACCACCGCAGGGACAACTACGAGGGTCTTGTTTGATTGATTTAGCTATCATCATTTTTATAATGTTATACAGTCAAACCTGTGTTAACGACCACCTGTCTGTAACGACCACTTAAAATCCCCCGTGAAATTTCATGTAGTTAAGAACCTGTTCTATTCCGCTGGCCACCAAAAATGCCCACACAATGACCGCAAACCTGTCTACAACGGCCACTATTTGTGTTTCCCTTGTGTGGTCGGTATAGACAGGTTTGAGTGTATCATTAAGCCTCCTTTTGTTCTTCCATATGACCAATGCAGGGAGATCTTCCAAGGTCTTGTATCTCAAGGTGTTATCACACCTAAGGAGGAACAACCACCACCAACCGTCCCTATGGATTACAACTGGGCTAGGGTAAGTACATCTTTTTAATTCCAATTTATTTTTCCATTAAAGCAGGACTGCACTACTTGTAGCTATTTGCGCCCTCTATAAAGCAAACAATGCCTAAGCGGTACCCATTGGTCCCCCGTCATCTTTTTCTTATATTAACTAAGAGCTGATTTGATGAGATAACCACCTGTCAATGACCATGCAGGGAACTCTAATCCCTCCTCGCTAAAACTAGTGCAGATAGGCTTCAAAACATAATACAGGTAGTAACATAATGAATACATGCAAAATATTCTTTTGAAGGAACCCCTTAGATTACATAGCTTCTGAGGTGGTGCCCTGTACAAATATAAAGAAATAATTGAATGTGAATGAAATTTGAATGAAATTAATGAACAGGCAATAGCAATAAAGTCAAAACATACACCCACATTCACCCATTCATTCCAATACCCATATGTTATAATCATATATATATATATATATGTTAGTAATGATGAGCATCTATTACCTAGGGGGTGTTTCATAAAGACTAAGCTCTACTTTAAGTTGGACTTAAGTAACGACATACATTGTAAACTTAAGTTTACGCCCCTGGAGAGACCAATGCCAGGAATAATGAGAGCAAACAGTGGCGTGAACAGCCTGCCATAGTTAAGTCCTACTTAAAGTCGATCATACATGTAGTCTTTGTGAAACACTCCCCTTGACATCTTCATATTTTTTATTTCATATTTTATTTTTGATCTTCAGGAGCTTGGTTTGATCCGTAAACCTGCGTCCTTCATGACTAGCATTGTAGACGAGAGAGGAACAGAGCTGATCTACGCTGGGATGCCTATCACCGAGATCTTTGAGCAAAACATTGGTATGGGTGGTGTGCTTTCACTTCTATGGTTCCAGAGAAGGTGAGTGTGATATACAGAGAGTGATCGTTGTACGTCGGTCGTTTTTAGATGATGACGTGGATCCTAATCAAATGATTGGTTGAAAGCGTACATGTGACCAGGCATTTATTTTGCCTAACGCGTAATCGCGCGTAATTTGGGTAATGACCCAAAATCATGTTAGAAAACATTATTTTATAAAACAAATGAAACATAATCTTATAAAACAAATAATACACATCATTTTGTTCGGGCATTAGTAAAATTACCGACACTTGGTACCTTTAAAGGTACCTCGTGTGGGTAATTCTTACTAATGCCCTCACTGATGTGTTTTATTTGTACATTTGCCACCCTCCACCCAGGTGCTAAATGTTAATGTAACATGCTCAGCATTGTGAGTGTCTGTAAAATGGTGCCTGGCTGGAATATTCCCCAGGGAGTGGAGATGACCAGGGTAATAATATATCCGAAAGCACTTAGAGACATCGTCGATGCACTGTATATTAAGCGCTTTATTGATAAAATAAAAACATTATTATCTTCATGCTGTATTTCTATACACAGTTTATAATAACATGTGAATTGTTTGATGGTTCTGAATTCAGAGATGATCATTCTAGTTAAAGCCCCATTGCATTGCCAAGACGATCTCTATTATCAAGGAATTCTAAATGTAAACTCTTTGACCCGAATTCACAAAGGAGGTTTAAATTCAACCCAAGGTTTAAATCTTCAATTACATAACCCATGGTCTAAAATTAGTGCAAAAAAAAAATATGACGGAGTCCAGAGGTCCAATATGTATGTTGTCTTGTGTTTTCTAAGTCTTTGTAGGCAAAATTTGAAACATTTATATTTTTATTTTTTTTCTTGGGGATCCACAAACTACAAGCACTGCTTTTTAGTGGATCCCCCCCCCCCCCCCATTTCCTCAGAAATTATGAAGTTCTTGTAATAATTTTATTATGTGAATTGTTTATTTGTATAGTTTCCTGAAAAAATGAATTATGTATGAAAAAAAATGTAATATCTTTGTTTACCTTTCTGTTGGAAATGAAATAAATATGAATGTGAATATGAATATATGAATATTAGACGTCTGCAAGGCAAGGTACGCTTAATTTGCGCTGTGTGTTTTCTGCTTAGGTTGGTGATTTGCTATGTTTTTTTTAATTGAGAGAGATTTTTTTCTTCCTTTACCAGATTACCACCCTATGCAACCAAGTTCATTGAGATGTGTTTGATTGTCACAGCTGATCATGGTCCTGCTGTATCAGGAGCTCATAATACCATCGTCACTGCTAGGGCAGGCAAGGACCTCGTCTCATCACTCACATCGGGTCTTCTTACAATCGTAAGTGATTTATACACTGAAGAGAATTGCCAAGAAATCTGTAGATATTTGTATTAGATCAAATTTTGTTCTCTCAGCATTCTCCCACTTCCTTGACAGTTCAAGTTTAAAGACTTTTTTTTTTTAATCGATTGTATGGACTTGATAGAACTATCTGGTAGATGAAAAGTGGTCCGAAGTATTAAGGTTCAATAACAATAGCAATGACGCCTATTGTGATTGAGAGTATGTCTCCCGAATTGACAGGGATGAGATTCCTCCGCCTATTTCAATACGGGGAAAAAAGAAGAAAAACCCTTTTGATTATCATTAATTGTACAGCTAGCAGTGACCTCACTACCTTAGCAGCATTTTTCTCTCATCTGAACAATGTTATAGAGTCCCTTTAAGCACGATGGGGTATCAAATATTTCTCAAATTAAGAATTTTAATGCAAGGAAAACGTTTCCTTTTACGTAAATATATTCTTAAGTTTTCTGTGGAAAAGGGGCTGCCCTCGTAACCCCCACCAGGGGTGTTGCCCCCGGACCCCCATTTAATTTTCCTCCTTGTTGGGAGTTTCTCTGTCTCATCCCTGCAATAATGAATTGTTATTTGTGGAACCAGCTGTGCAGATGGCCTCATCTGTTGACCACTTCAAGAAATTACTAAAGCCACATCTATTCTGCTAAAAATGATTTTATTACCAGCGTACATATACTTAACTGATCTCTGAGAAGTGACTAACTTTTGTTTATAAGTGGCCCAAACATTGTGGAGCGGTGTGTGGCTTCATCTGTTGACCACTTCAAGAAATTACTAAAGTCACATCTATTTTGCTAGAAATGACTTTATCACCAGCCTACAATGTACATATACTGATCTCTGAGAAGTGACTAACTTTTGTTTATAAGTGGCCCAAACATTATGGAGCGGTGTGTGCAGCGCTTTGTAACCGCAAGGAAAAGCCGCTTTATCAAATATCTGTTTTTTGATTGATTGTAGGGAGATCGTTTTGGAGGTGCATTGGATGCTGCAGCCAAGCAGTTCAGTGAGGCATACGATACCAATCTCATTCCAATGGAGTTCGTCAACAAGATGCGTACCGACCATAAACTCATCATGGGAATCGGACATCGGGTCAAATCGGTGAGTGAGCTGCTTCCTTTACCCTTATAGCCTCGCTCAAATACATGTATGCTACAGTAAACCACAGTGTATTTATGTGTGTGTGTTTTAGCCCTTTCATGATTTTTTTTAAAGGCCACATTGATCACATAATGAATTGAATTGAATTAAATTTATTCATTGTCATATGCACACATAAAAGGAGGGCATAAAAATCATCTTACGACTTGTTCTTTAAGTTTGCCAAAAAAATCTTTGACTGCAGCTACATCGTGAAAATAAAATGTAACATGTCTAAAAAGAATATATGGGTGAGTGTGTCGTTGAATAGATGAAAAAATTACCAATTTTGATTGAAAACAAGGACCTGCCAATTTAACAATTTTAAAGAACATTCTCCTTTTTACAATTCCTGCCACCAAACTCGATATAGTCATGAAACAAAAGATGGATACAGTGTGTGCTGAAACTTTTGCCTTTTCTACTCAGGCATCTGGTATATTATGTGAGGGTTCTGAATCAATAGTTATAGAACCAACCCACAACATGTGGAATGATTGTCATGAAAGGGTCCTAAAGCCCCTCTATAGTGCTCCTCTCCTTCCCTCCAAACGCAGCCCACATTTTTTCCCCTTTTTTTCCCTTCTTTTTTCTGTTCATTCTTCGTCATGTAGTTTGTTAGGTCTTCTTGTTTACAGTCATTACGTGTTTTAATAAATGATCTCTGTTGGCCACTATTCTTCTTTCATTAATTATGTATTCAATATTTTGTTCACACTCATTATTATCTGAGGGGTCCACAATTTACAAGCTTTGCTTTTCATTGGACCTCTCCATTTCCTCAAAATATAAATGCAGTTAAATTTTAAAATTCATTTTTTGTCTTACTAAAATGTTGAATTATTATTAAGATTTGTTTATTACAAATGTAACTATTTTTTGTATACAATTTACATTGTATTAGTTATTATGTATTGTATTTTGTTGGAAATGAAAAAATAAAAATGAAATGAAATGAAGTTCTGGGAGCCCCAAATTCACCAAAGATTTGCAAAATTTCACTTAGATTGTATCATAATGTGAAAGAGGATGTCATTTAAGACATGCTTCTGCAAAAATTCCCCCCCCCAAAAAAAAAATATGTTTGAAGACAAATATTGATAAAAGAATTCATAATTTTTTTTTTTTGTTGGACACAGAAAACCAAACTTTACAGGGGCTTTAAATAATTGGCATGCTGGATTAGAAATAACTCCACGTAACAAAGGTCCTAGGCATTCTCACTTATCTGTGTGTTATATGATATGTAATATAACCTATATAAATGTGAAGTGCAGTAGGCTTCATTACACTTGAAACGACCCTTAACCACTCAAAGTAACAATTAGTGGGAATTTTTTATGGTGTATGGCATGAATTGCCATTGTTAAAGACAAAAGTTGAATACAATGTCTTAAAGATAAACTTGAGTTCTGGTAAATATAGAAAATAATTTCTCACAAAATCCAATGAAACTTACACTTACAAATAAGTGACATGTGCCAAATGATTTTGGTAGAAAATGTATTGTGGCTGAGTAATGAGCATATAAAGATACGGAAATCCGGTTAAGTAGGCCTGACACCATGTACTTAACACAGGTCACTATGTTCAAATGCGAGTTGTGGTTTTTATTGAAGATGATGCCAAGTAAGCTTTTGTGCGTTTGTTTTTATATCACTGGTTCAAACAAATAATTTACTGCAGGATAAACAATCCAGAATAAATCATAGCAATTTTCTCTCAAAATACGATTGCCCATACCAGAGCTCAATTTTAGCTTTAATACAATAACAGACTGTCATGCTACATTTTTCATCGTGATCATGATGTAAAACAAAAGATTGTAAATTAATAATGATATTCACATTTGTATAGCACTTAAAAATACATTTCTAAGCGCTTTACATTGTTCTTATTATCATTGCGGTCGTTGGATTCAATTTCAACTCCACATATGCTAGTGCACATGCCCCGCTCCCTAGGAGTATTACGGCCAGGCCCCTTAGGCCTAAAATAAAAGATGTTGTATTGCCCTTTAGGTGCCAAAAGATGGGTCGGTCGGTCAGAAATCTTTTCTTTTTTTCTTTTATTCCCTCTTTGGGCTGATATTTTATAGTTTTGAATGCTTTAATAAATCTTTTTTCTAAAAGCCGACCGTAGATTTCAAGATTTTTGGGTCGGTCGCAAAAGGCAATTAATCTTTTTTTATAGACCTTATATAACTATTTTTTTTTGTCTGTCCTTTTCTTCTTCCTCCAGCTGAACAACCCTGACCAGAGGGTAGAGATATTGAGGGACTACGTAACGAAGAACTTCCCAGTCTGTCCGCTTCTTAACTACGCTCTGGAGGTGGAGAAGATCACTACAGCTAAGGTTAGCAAATTGGCAATCAATCAATCAATATATTGTGTAGAAAGTTGGAATGTGAAGACAGTAGAAGAAGGTATCTTGAGACGGACAGAAAGAGTTGTGATACAGGAGATGTGTGGTATGAAACTGTCCGATAGAAAGGATTCAAGTGAGCTCATGAAAAGGTTGAGTCTGGAAGAAACTGTGGGTGAAGTGGTAAAGAGAACTGGATTTAGATGGATGGGTCATATGATGAGAAAGGGAGCTGATTGAATTCTGAAAAGAGCGTGGGACCTGGAAGTGGATGATATAAGAGGGAAAGGAGGATCAAGGATTTCACAGGAAGATATTGTGAAGAAAGAAAGTAATTAGGTTATCTAAATGAGGAGGATACCTGAGACAAGGTAAAGTGGAGGGTGGTAGTGTCATCGTAGTGTGAAAGTGGAATTTAAAAAATGATGATGATGATGGAAAAAATAGCATATATTTGTATCATATTGCATTGTGTTTAAGTTGTTCTGAATTAGACTATTTCAAAATGAAAAAAAAAGCAAACCTAATAAACAAACAAGTAATACTTGAGCAAGAAGCAATTTCCGGCCTCATCCGGAATAATTCTTGCTCATTTCATTGTAGCTTGATTCTAGTTGGAATATCTTTTTCAGATGAATTCCAAGGAGCTATTATTAAGTGATTAACCATGTTTAGTTAACCTGACAGTAGAGAGAGAGATCTTAAGTGTTAAAGATAAAATTGAGTTCTGGTCATGCGATGGCATTGTGAAAAAAACGTGGTGGAATCGATCAGAAAAGGTTGATCACCTAGCATATAAGTATTGTGTACTGCATGGTTCTGGAATCATCAAAATGATAAGAAATCTGGTCCAGTCTTGGTCAAGTAACAAGCACTGTACATAGAAAGATGTGTATGGGACTACACATACATGTGGCATAAAAATCTGTCCCGATTTTTATGATGTAACATGCCATATTTAGAATATTAAGGCATTTGAGGAGCCATGCTTTTCAGGGAACTTTTTTCTCTGATGTTCTTCCACACTTGCATAATACAAGGATAACGCTCACAAATTATTTTTCACCTCTTCCAAGAACTCGACCTTCTCTTTAAGTGGTAGTTATGTAGCTCTCGATTCATACCTGAGTTAACCTGTGGGATGGATTTCCAGAAGAGCACGCTTCCCCCTCCTCATTGAAAGATCAAAAAGAAGAGAAAAGGGGGGGGGGGGAGAAGAGGAAAGGGAGGGAGGGGGGAGGCAATGTGAAAAGAGAGCATGCCTCCCCCTCCCCATCGAAAGATCAAAAAGGAGAGAAAGGGGGAGGGGGAAGGCAATGTGAAAAGAGAGCATGCCTCCCCCTCCTCATTGAAAGATCAAAAAGAAGAGAAGGGGGGGGGTGGGGAGAAGAGGAAAGGGAGGGAGGGGGGAGGCAATGTGAAAAGAGAGCATGCCTCCCCCTCCCCATCGAAAGATCAAAAAGGAGCGAAAGGGGAGTGGAAGGCAAGGAAGGGGGTAGGGGGAGGCAATGTGAAATCAAAAGAAGATGATGCGTCCCCTCTCACACCCTCCCCCTCACCCTTAATGTCATCCTCCTAGTCAGTCCATTGCCCCCCGCCCCTCTCCCCCTCTCCACCATACCAGTACCCCTTCAGTTGCTGGACCCTTACTATGCCTATGGTGAAAGTAAATGCCCTTGATGGAGGCTTATAAAAAAACAATTAATAGCGAGTGGTTTGTCACGTACGCTTTCATGAATACTTAGGTGTTTTCCTTAATAGCAAGTTTCCATTATTTCATTGTTCTTCACATTGTAAATATAGACTCTGACATCTACACTTTGTATCAGTTTTTTTTTCTTCTTCTTTTTCTGTTAAGAGACATCTCTAAGGGGTTTGAGATGGTAGTGATTTTTAAGAACTATGACAATACTGTTTCCTGTATTGGGTTTTCCCCAGTGTAGTAGTACAGTCTATATTTATTACATCTAAAAATACTTGTATTTGTGTACCATTCTGTGCACTACATAGGATTAATGAAATTATGTCCTATCCAACGAAAAATGATGTGATGTAATTTAGGTAAAATAGACAAACCATCTTAAGAAAGAGCATTTTATAATTGTAATGTATTTTGTTCCGGGGGGGGGGGGGTAGATAAATATCCAGTGATACATTGTAGTTGTTTCTCAGCAGATATCTGCCTGGCAGTAGGTTTGGGGTTGGTTATCCAGGGGGTCGTTGTTATTGAACCAAGACAAAAATAAGTGAAAATGAGAAATAGATACCAAATTAGGATTTAGTAAAAAGAGAGTTTGTTAAGAAATATGGAAACGAATATAGGACTACTACATGAAACATTATTGTAATGAGCTAAAATGGAGTTACATAATTATTCAATACAGAGTCTTCAAAGAAAAATTGTCATTCTAGATGTTTATTGACCCCTCCCCCTCCCCACCTCACATCCACCACCTCCTAAACAACCACTACCAACAACAGCAAAAGCAACAGCAGTACAACCACTACCAATAACAATAACAGCAACTGAAACAAGATATTATTATTATTGCATGATTTATTGAATAAAGAACAGATTTATAATTTGTGTGTTTATTATAATTTTTGGTTGGTAATTTGTAGACAGACAATAGTGCGCTTAGAAACAACTGTATTAAGCGCTCTTATTACTCTTATACTATTCCCTGAAGTTGTTTTGCTATTTCTTCTTTGTTTGTCTAGAAACCCAACCTGATCCTGAATGTGGACGGTGTGATTGGTGTGGCTATGGTGGATCTCTTCAGGAACTGCGGAGCATTCACAGCGTAAGTTTCAATTCAATTCAATTTGTTTTATTTAACCATTTAAAATCAAAATCAGTATACAAATCATGCATGTATGAAAATTATTGATACAGTGTAAATGGTCAGGGTGCCCCTAAAAGCCAAGGCTTGATTAGTGGGGCCCCCAATACATAAAGAAATACATAAAGAAATACACATAAAATAAACATGAGATTCAAAACAAACTTAGTTAAAAAAAAAAACATGAAAATATTAAGCACTGAACATACTGGTAAAGGGAAATAGGAAAAGGTGAAATAAGAACATTTAGAAAGGAAAAATGAAATTTCATTTTTATATGGCACACATGTAGGTAGTTATTATTGAACTTTTGAGTTTGGTTTTAAATAAAGTAAAATTAGTGCTGGAAATTAGATCAGAAGGGAGGGAATTCCATATTCAAGGACCAGCAGATTTAAATCCAATAAGAGTTGACTGATTGGAGTGCTAATGGAAAATGGAATTTAGAGATGGTTAATTAATAACATTGGGACAGCAGTGTGACTGTGCAGTCTGCAAAGTGGCAACATTGAAATCAAAATTGCCTAGACTTGTGATGATAAATTGATTTTTCTTTGATTGGTATTCATAATATCCCTAAAAATTGATATTTTGTCATGAGGTCCCCCCCCCCTCCCAAAAACACAAAACAACAACAACAACAACAACAAGTAGATAAATGATTTAATGAATGAATGAATGGGTAGATGGATGAATGTAAAAATAATTTAACAAATCAAGACGGTATGTAATTAGTGTAGATCTGATGATTGTTTTAGGCAAGCGTTATAATGTATTTATTTTGGCCGATAAGAAATTAATTTACCATAAATTGCTTATTTCCTTTATAAATCATCAACAAATTCAATCTACATCATAGGATTAATGACTCGTAGAAATGTCGTTCCCTGAGGGTATAATGTATTTATTTTGGCCGATAAGAAATTAAATCACCATAAATTGCTTATTTTCTTCATAAATCATCAACAAATTCAATCTACATCATAGGATTAATGACTCGTAGAAATGTCGTTCCCTGAGGGTATGAATAGTGTATAGTATATGAATATACACTGTCTTTGGAGGTACTGGTTAAAACTATGCGCAAGAGGTGACTTCAATGAGTCACCTCTTGCCCGTAGTTTTAACCAGTACATGTACCTGAAAAGAAGACAGGGTATATATTTTTTTTTATCCTGTATCCAAAAAAAAATTATAATTAAATTATTATTATTATTTTTTTTTTCAACTCTCAAATACTTTTTTTGTCAGAGCCACCTTAAAATAGTTGAAATATTGCTGGTGATGTGAAGAAGCCTCAACCAATCAAAAAGCAATACATTGATGCAGGATATAATACTATTTGTATATAATTGAAATAGGGGATGCTATGAGTGAGTTACCTTCACTTTTAATACTGGGTCAAGTATTGTCTACATGTACACTGTATCGGTATCATATGTTTCAGTTGCTGTTGTACAAGTTTACATGCAATATATAATGAAACATGGTACATGGTAGTACGAGCTGCTTTGTTTGGGGTCATACTTGCGGTTACATCCTTGACAGAAACATCCTGGACAGTGATACTAAATAAGCATGTCACACTTTAGATAGATTGAGGGAGGAAATGCTATTTTTGCGGTAGACTGAACATGTTCATGTCAACAGCGATACTGGCTGAATGCCATCCAGTTAAGATCCACATTTCATTATAATACTTGCAGTTATATTTGTACAATCACTTTTCATAATCCCCCATATTGACATTAATTTGTATGTAGTCTGATGTTATTATGTATTTCTGCTTTCATTTTCGTTTATTTTTGTTCTCCATAATTTTCATTATGTCATTAATGTGTTGGAGAATTATTATGTATATCGAGTAATATTGTTTTGTAATTTTTTATGGAAATGTGGAAAACAAATAAATTCAATTCACTTCCATTCAACGAAACCTCTGGGGATATGACTATTGGAGTGATACAAGAAAGCACCATAATTCAATGGTCATATCGAGGGATTCTTCATTTTTGGATGAAATATGTGAAAATAAGATATATCTGGGGAGTGCTTCACAAAGACTATTAACCCTAAAAAGGCCGGGCTACTTGAGGTCTTAGTACGGCCGGGGGGGGGGGGGGGGGGGGGGGGTATTGTGCCCCCCCCCCCCTCAATAAGATCTCGGCCGTGAAGCGGCCGATCTCCACGAAAATTTGCACACATGTCAAGTGAAGTGTATAGAATACTATGATAATTTCAATTTGTGAAAAATTCACTCATTGCATAATTATGGTAATTTATGCAAATAAGGTCATAAAAATCATATTTTTAACCATAAATCATATATTATTCATATTTAAGCATTCTTTTTCACTACATATATTCATTAAGACCATTCGGAACAATAATACAACACAAAGTTTTGGAAGAGCCAGCTTATTCATTATGTTATCTCTTGTTTTTATAATTTCTTATGTATTTCATTGTTTTTTTAACTTATGTATTTTATTGTGTTTGTTGTTTTATTTCATTTTAACTACAATTCAACTATTTTGACTCCCAAAACAACCACCTAAACTTTAAACAAGACCCAATAACACATGTTTGATCTATTATTAAGAAAAATGACTTTTCCATAGGTTTTGTACACAAATCACGAAAATGAGCGATTTTCGGGCTGACATGCAAAGACAAAAGGTCACGTGACCTTGTAATCATATGGCCGATTTTCAAAAAAAATTCTTTTAAAATTTGCGCAAGACTCGAAAGAAAAAAAAAAGTCAGCCAGTGGCGGGGTGCCACCCATATGCGTTCCTGAACAATCAGAAAAATCGTGGAGGGGGGGGGGGGCATGATGCCCCCCCCCCCCCCCCCCAGCCATATTAGGGTTAAGTTGGACTTGAACTATTGAAGGCCGTTCATGCCACTGGTTTCTCTCAAGGGATATCAAAAATCTGGAGAAGTTACATTTTTTGATAGTTCAATGTTGAAAAAACAAATGTGGATTTGTAACCACGATTTGTACGTCCCTTGAGAGACCAATGCCAGGAATGGTGAGAAAACCAGTGGGCCCTGCCATAGTTCAAGTCCAACTTATAAAAGCCGATCCTAGTCTTTGGGAAACACTCCCCAGTTGCATGGGACGCATTGTGAGTTTGAATGTGTAGGATGTGGTATGCTCTAAACAGTGAAGCTCTTATATCAATGTTCACAATATCCCATATGTAGAGGTGTCTTGGTCGAATTGATACGTCACCGGACTGTGGATCACAAGGTCCGCGGTTCGAATCCCGCCGCGGCACCAATGTCTTTTTGGCAAGACATTGATCTACATTTGCCACACTCAACCCAGGTGATGTTAATCGGTGCCTGGCAGGAGTTAATTCCTTGAAATGCTAGAGTGCCGTATGGCAGCCGTGCTAAAGCCAGGGTAATAATCAGGAGCATCAGGAGTGTCAAGTCTGACAGATTTGAGCGCTATACAAGAACCCAATATTATTATATTATTATCATGATATGCTTTGTTTTGTTTCTTTACAGTGAAGAAGCCAATGAATATGTTGAGATAGGAGTCCTGAATGGTCTCTTTGTCCTTGGGCGTAGCATGGGCTTCATTGGTGAGTTATACAATTCATATTCATATTTAATTGAAATATACTACTGACATATTACACAGGGATGCCAATTTTCAATTCAGACCCTGGCAAGTTATTTTCAGGCCATAGTTTAGGCTATTTTGTGTACAAACTAGGTCATTCTAGGTGATTTTCAGGCCCTCTGATCAAGAAGGAGTGGGAATTATGCACTAAGTTCATAATTGTGATTTTGCAATGATGCTTCTGAACTTTTCTATGTTTGTTTCTATATTTCTTAGGTAATCCGGCAAATTATTCTATAAAACATTGGTTAAATATGGAAATGATCTTTCCCCGTAAGATTTGTCATAGTTTGGGGGACACAGAATAAAGACTCTTTAATACTGGAAGGAGAGTTTCTAGGGTAATAGTGATTTAAGTTTGTCCCCCTCCCCCCCTCCCCCCCTCACAGGCACAGGTGACTCCTAACACTTGATTAAAACAGTGACAATTCACTGTAATCTGACAAACATGATCGTACATATGTGGGTCTCACTAGTGTTTCATTCGCTCATTCTGTTTGTTTGTTTTTATAACAGGTCATTATCTGGATCAGAAGCGACTGAAGCAAGGTCTCTACCGCCACCCATGGGACGACATCTCTTACGTACTCCCAGAGGCACACCCTACTGTCTGAGAGAGAGAGAGATCCACTGAGTCGATGTCATCCAATGTCTAAGACCAAAGCTACATGTATGTCCCTTTATTCAGTGTTGCATCCACACGATGGTAGGTCCTACAAACTTCCAAAATAGTTTTGTCTTGTATGAATGTACCAGATAGTGGAGTCAATCTTATTTTTGTGTAATAAGTTATTACTGGAAAATGGTGTTGACTAAAATCTGTCTTAGACATGACTGAGCTATTTGTACTTGAGGACAGGATGTATGATTGATCATTCACTTTCAATGTTTGTATTAAAGGTAAAGACCAGTTTTGGAAACGCCCCCATCACAAAAAATGAAATGGAAGCTCTCATTACCAATCATGTGAAAGAATATATTTTGACTAACACGTAATGATTTAAATTTTGCCGGGAAACCGCCTACTAATTGATATGTTTGGTAAATTATCATATATATCTGGACCTAATAGATATTGTGCATGTGTCGCGTAGTCCCATATGCATCTTTCTGTGTACAGTGCTTTGTAAATTTACCAAGACTGGGCCAATTTACTTATAATTTTGATGATTCCAGAACCTTGCAGTACACACCAATACTTATATGCTAGATGATCAACCTTTTCTGATCGATTCCACAACATTTCTTTCACATTGCAATCGCATTACCAGAACTGATCTTTACCTTTAAAGTTATGTTTGTGAAACCTAATTTATCTTTTTAGTACCCGGTACATTTGCCAGATATAAATTGACAAAAATTGTACTATTGAAATGTATGAAAGTTATGAGGAATACGATATTGTTCAACCAAAGTTATTTTATCAAGTAATGGCAGTGGTGTTTATTACTAATGATGTAGAAATATTGAATCTTCGTTTGAAGTATTATAGTAAAATTCAAGCTCTATGAAACAAAATTGTGATGTTTTTTTTAGGTCTAGTGAAAAGTATCCCCAAACCTTCTTTTAATGTAATGAGCCCTAATTAGATTAATTGTCGTTATGGTTATATAAACATGAAAGGGGTTTAGATAAGATTGATTCCTGCACTAAAGTAGTAATAAAAAGCACATTTAATATCACTAAATCTGCTTAAAAGCTTTCAATAATGATGTGTTTGAACCGTATGATGGCAGTTTTTTTCTTTTGAAATAATATTTTTTTACGGCTTCAAGTTTAGGTTTCGTGTCGTAAAATATTCTCGTTATTATTGGAATTGGAGATGTGTGGATGAATTGTATGTCAATGTTGGATTGTTAATTGGTATTTAGTATGACTATAAAATTTATTTTGCTTTTTTGAGACATCATACATGTAATGCACAACAACAAAATCACAGTTTGTGAGAAATTAATCTTGTCAACTCAGTTGTGATTCATTTTTATGATTTGATTTCACATTAGATGATGTATTGATTATGCCAGTTAACTAAGTTTGGTAGAGGGGAATTTTATTTGCAACGAGCAAAGAAGGGGATGTAAAGAAAGTACTCTGACCCTTTTCTGTCTATGAGGATTTTGTGGTACATTTTTACTAGCCAGTTCTTTTGTTTATTTATGATGACTTTCACTTTCACAACCTGTACTGAGCTTCATGTGCAATGAAACAGCAATTATTTATGTTTCTAAAAATTGTTTTGAAAATGTTTTGAAAATGTTTGTTTTTATCACTACATTAGAGCCCCAAGCTAGAAGTAGTCCTGCTTAAATGTTTTCGTATTGAGTCATAACATGCAGGTACTGAATAGACATAGAAACCATTAGTATTGCAATATGAGTGTAATAAATAAAGTGGACTCCATTTTTGTTATGAAGAATTGAAAGGGTTATTTACATTTCAGGGTCAATGTATGCATAAAGCGTTAATGTTGTCATTTTAACTGAACCACTTTAAATAGATTGTCATAGGAAAAAAAGAAAAGATTGCACATGATTCCAAATGCATACATTGTCTGGTCAGAGCTAAAAGGATGTTGATTATATATGTTACTGTATATGAGTTAACGCCTTTGTTGCTCCAGAGAGAATAATATGTATTATATCCTGCATCAAAAATTTGTTGGCTTTTGATTGGTTGAGAGCTCGTCACATGACCAGAAATATTTGACCTATATTTAGAAAGTACTAAATGAGAGTACTATTTTGGTTTACTATTTGGGAGTTGAAAAAAAAATCACATTTAAAAAAAAATTTAATCATTTTTTTTTCTTCAAATCTTAATTTAATGAAAACAAAATATTTTAAATCTTTTTAGATAAAAATTGACATTTTTTTTTGTTCTAAAATTTTTTTTCCCCCAATTTTTTTAAATTTTTTTTTTCTAAAATAATTTTTTGATGCAGGATATAAAACAAATATACCATGCCTTCTGTTCGAGGTACTGGTTAAACTCCAAAAGTACCATTTGCTTCAGGGCTGCGCCCCTCAGCAAATAGTACTATTGGAGTCACCTCTTGCGCATAGTTTTAACCAGAACCTCTCAAGGCAGTGTATATTTGTATAATATGTTTTATTGTCTTAATGAATTCCCAATGGATAGGATGGACATAACGTATAAAACCAGTAACTCTCTATATAGGACAGTATTCCATAGATTCATTTTATTAACAGTTGTTTGCTGTATACATGGTATTAGATACTGGTGTGATATCTAGATGTCTTTCTTGAGGACCAGCATGTATAAAATGGTCAAAATAAAAATGCATTTGGCTTGAAATTGTGTATTCAATGTTGCAACGAGTTTCTGATACTGTACGCATAGTTGTATTGTAATACATCGCAGATGAAAATAGCTTCAACAATGTTTGTTGAAGTGTTATGATGAATTTCAGATAAAATCCAAATCTGCAGATGTGAAGTAGATCTTTGAGAACACTGATGTTTAACAGAAGAGGATTATAGGTTTTATTCTGGTATTTTGAAGAAGGAAAAGTTTTGTTAAGAATTGGCAGAACTAGATTTAAGTCAAAAAGTGTTATATTTATTCTTGGTATTCTATTTTGTCATTGATGTGAAAAAGATAATGTATTATGAGTTCTAATCGTGGCATATTTAAGACTATCCCACCTCTAATATCAACTAAGTATTCTCTGTGCAGAATACCTTTATTAAAGTCCAATTTCAAGCCATGATTCAGTCATAGGTTGTCAAACTAAAATATAATTGCAGATTTCTATCACTAACTTTAATTGTATGGGTTTTTTTTTTAAGGGTGAATTAAATTGAATTGTTGGGGGAAGATTAGATTTGATGTACTGTGTCTGATGAATATTATATAATTCTTATATATTTTTATTGAAGAAAAATGCCAGCTCTGTTTAGTCCTCATTTATTCATTAATGAATATCAGGCTTTAAAAGTCGATCAGATATCAAAGTGGCTGATGGTTATTATTTGTATTAATATCTGTTAAGATATTTCATTTGTTGAAAATCAGTGTTGAAAATCATTTTCCATATAATATACATGAATGATTTAATAGTATTGTTTTACAGCTGTTGTGGTGTATGGTTTATTGATAGAAGAATCGTAATAAAGCAATAACATTCCCTTGTTAACTGTCAGCAATCAAATCTATGTGCTTGAATATTTGTATATGTAGTTATCTGGGTATTATGACTCTGCCAAAATAACTTATAATATATATTTAGAGTGTTATCATTGTTATGATGCAAGTGTGGAAGAACATCCAAGAAAAAATGTTCCCTGAAAAGCATGGCTCTTCAAATGCTTTCATATTCTAAATATGGCATGTAACAACATACAGATCTGGAAAGATTTTTACGCCACATGTTTGTGTAGTCCCATAATAATAATAGTTTAAACTTATAGAGCGCACACACCGTCCAGGGACGCTCATGGCGCTAGCTCAGCAACAGTTCTCTTTGATAAAGTAAAGTAAATAATTTTGCAATATTTGTATAACCCATTCCAATCCTCAGTTCTGACAGATGGGGCCCGGTGCTCTCCAGCCGCTCTGTTCACTGACAATTATACATCGTTCCATATACATCTTTCTGTGTACAGTGCTTGTAAGTTAACCAAGACTGGGCCAAATTTCTTATCATTTTGATGCCAGAACCTTGCAGTACACACCAATACTTATATGCTATTTGATCAACCTTTTCTGATCAATTCCACACCGTTTCTTTCACAACTCTACTTTATCTTTAAGGATATACTCTATGATACACATTGTCATCCTCTCTCTGACAATAGGGACTTTTAGATTCGCACGAAGACAATGTGGATTGCTACGATCGACGTCCTTTTAATGCACTGCCTTGAATGGACGTCACACGTATCAGTCCACGCAAATCTAAGAGTCCCTATTAAGAAGAGTAACCTACAACACACTCGTATATGATAATATTAAAGTCTATATTTGCCCATCCAAGATTTCAAGATTAAGGATGTTAACGCTCGAACGCTGTAATGGCAGGTTAATAATAGAGCGCGAGGAGTGGCAAAGTGCCAGACGTGAGCGCTATACAAGCCTCCACTATTCTCATTATTAAGATTTATACAACACCTACGTGGATCCTTGTCATTTGATTGGAGGATTGTTGGTCACATGATATTCAATAGATGTTATATTGCACGGTCGTGCATTTTTGGTTATATGCGCCGTGCATTTTTGGTTATATGCTGCGTATACCTCTCAGCCGTGCGCGCGCGTATCCCTGCGTGTATCTGACGCGACGGCAATCTGAATGTAATCGAGAATTAAGGCTTGACTCCAACTTTAATTTATCTTTAATATAATATAAGGAGTAAAGCATAATTTGTTGATTAACGTTCTATTAGATCTTCTTCGATGTTGTATAAAACAAATAATGAATGTTTTTTATTCGTTCAATAGTGCGAATATTTTCATTCGTTGAAAGATTAACGTTAATTCTATTCAACTCGGCTGACGCCTCTTTGAATAGAATGTTAATCTTTCAACTCATGAAAATATTCGCACTATTGAACTCATAACCATTCATTATTTGTATATTATCTAAACATATCTTTGCAGCTGGTTGTGGCAATTTTACAAATACAAAACAGTTACAGCATTGAAATGTAACATAATAAACATATATACAGATATAATTAACTAATTGAAGTACCTAATAGAAATGCAATTTTAAATTTCAGTTGTGCCTATAGTAGAATATGGTTCTGTAATTTCAGTTGGTGAATAATCTCGAAAGTGAGAGTAAAGACGGACGTCAGAAATATGAAACCTTCCCTTGACAGGATATTGATGATTTTCTTCCTCAATTGCTGTTTATGAATACACACAATTCACTTCTGTGTTTTTTGTCTCAATGTGATCATATTTTGAAATACAG